ACGATGTTTTTGCTTGTGTTACCATTAGCCAATCACCAACCAAGGTAACCCCCCCCCCACCTTATCACCTGAATCTCCTCCTTGAGCACCATTGTGTTATTTTTAACCAAATCTCTCTCAGAGGGGCGTGGGGAGGGGCTCCTTATTTTCATCTAAAGTAACAGACAGAGAATCAGCACTTTTGAAACAGGGCTGAAACAGAGGGGATTATGGGATGCTGCAATGATCTGTTTGGTGTTTCAGCCAATCAGAGACAGGTTCTGTATATATCTGAGACCTATAATATATTGATGAAAAACAGTATAATAGGGGGCCTTTAAAGGAGGTTATGAGTGATCCTGGAGCTGGTTGGGCGATTAGGTCACCTCAGGTTTGTGGAGTTGTGCTTCACAGTTGGGGGAAATAGCAGCACAGAATTGGGCCGGCTGCCATTTAAGACAATAGGGCTTCTCAGAGATGGAGCTTCCTTGAATTGTGCAGTGTTTCCACTCAGTGAATGAACATACGAACCCCTCAGAGGTGGTTTTTCCATCATGGCCGACCTGCTGTATAGTTCCCATCAGAGGGTAACGGCTAACACGTCAGAGAGCACTCACCCTGAAGTGTACTCATAATAACAAGTGAAGGGATTCTTGGATGAGAAAGTCATTTACCTACAGGATGGAAAATGCGAGGAAGTGCTCGCTTGAGGCTTAATGTGTCCTTGTGTTTAAGTAAGAAGCAATTTCCATTTTAGATTAACTTAAAGGTCCCATGTCATGGCCATTTCTACTGATCATAACACACAAGGGGATGGGTAATAACCGGAAAAGCATGACATGGGACCTTTAAAGGGGCCCTATACAGCTGATTTCCAGGTTCATATCAGTATGTAGTGTCTCTCCTGGGACATGTCTCCATGCTTTAATGTTCATAAAGCTCTTTATTTTTCTCATAAAGCACCTCTTTTCACCCTCTGTCTGAAACCAGAGCCCAGTCTGCTCTGATTGGTTAGCTGGCCGGCTCTGTTGTGATTGGTCAACCACTCAAAGATGTCCCGCCCCTTAACATACCGAACAATGTAGCCAATAGAAGCACGAGTGTTACCTTGTGATGTCACTATGTTCCGGAAGTAAACAAAGGAGTCCAATGGAGAATTGACATGCACAAAAACCTATATAACACACTGAAGGAAAACAAACTCAAACCTTAATAGGGCCCCTTAAGATAAATCTTGATGATACCAAACTTTATGGGTATGACAAGCACCTTGTAAATATTCCAACTGATAATTAAAGCCTAACTGAAATACATATGTAAACACTTTTTATGTGTCTAAATCCCTCTTTATGCCAAACTGCCCTTGTGTGAACGCAGGTTAGCTGGCCTGCTCTGTTGTGATTGGTCTACCGCTTAGAGATGTCCCGCCCCTTAGCCTATCACTTACAATAAAAAAGAGAATTACGTTTATTAGTAGTGGCATTTTAAATGTTCAGTGTAATTGGCATCTATAGGCACAAGTCTTGCATCATTCTCTGTTACTGAACAAAACAGTAATGGCCTGTTTACCAAACCATTGATTCAACAGTGTTTGTAAGGGAAACCTCTTATTTCTCAATGACCTGAATAAAGGCTCTTCACATCCACACAGGTGTTGTTGGTTACACTGATTAGTACCCAGCTCAGGCTGAAGCATGATGGGAAATACATGATGGGAAATACATGATGTCATCACAAACACAGATGTGGTATTGGGGAAAGCACAGGTGTAATTACTAACATTACCACTGGCTGTATTCACCTTAAGGTCAGTCTGTTCCAGTGTGTTGCATGATGTAATGGTTCACTGGGACGAGTTAATGTTATTAGCTTCACCTGTGCTTTTTCCACTATGTCAAAGAGGGGGATCACCTGTTTCCTCGGTACACTGCTGCTGAAAAAAATTAATCCAAACTCCACTGTAGCTGCACTTTAAAGTGTACAAATAAAAATAAAAAGTACCATCAGTCACAACTTTGGCAGCACCAAATCGGAGTAATAATGTAGATATTTGACATTTGTTTGTTGCACTGTTGGATGATAATTTGAATTGTCATTGCTCTGTAGCTATTGTGCATATGATAAAAGAAAACTAAAGTATGTTCATAAAAAGTATGTATGTAAAATATTAGACACAGAAAAGCGTTTTGAGTGCAGTTCTCCTTGGCATTTTTATACAGAAACAGTGGAGCTTGGATTTTGTGATCTTTCATGTAACTTAAACTGCTAATCTTTACTGGCTCCATCAGGCAGAGTTCCCTATACAGACACCACGAGGTGTTTTCTGCAGCTGTTTGTTACAGGTGCAAACACACTAATGGCGCATTTCCACTACACGGTCGGCCTCGGCCACACTCGGTACGGCTCGGTACGGCTTGGCCGCGTTGGGCCTTAACAGGGCCGACTCACTTCATGCTGCGCTTCCATTACAGTTTAGGAACTGGGGTAGTTACTATAGTAACGCAGTGTAGGCGGAGCCGTGACGTCATCTTCAGTGAGAAATCCAGAAACACAACACAGCCGTTAGCTGTTAGCACTCAGAGCTCACAGCTCCTCATATCAGTTCAGAAACTCGACAAAAGTTAAACAAGTACACACCACAGACTGCCTGTGTCATGGTGAATACAGTCGCTGCTTTATTTATGTCTGTATAGGCCGTTGTTGTGAGTGTGGACGGTCGGGGCATATACTGCGTTAGCTTAGCCAATCTCCATCTAGAAAAACACGAATTTTAAAAGGTTTTTCGCCTGCCGTCTGTCTGCAGACTTGACAAAGCATTAATTCATGGTTTTTACTAACCGGTATCAGTATGTTGTTACTTCGGCATCATTTTGAAACGTGTATTAGAATTAAATCACGGTCAAAGATGTCCATCTTGTTGTAGTTCTAGCCCTCTTGCCAGCGCTCCTCTCTCTAGTTTAGCATACTCAGCCCGACTCAGCCCTGTTTGTTGGCCCCGATAGAACCACAATTTTCTAGGGCCAGAAAAGAGGGGAAAAAGTGGCCCCGCGCCGTGCCGCGCCGGAACGAGGCCTAGTGGAAGCACAACCAAAAAAGGGGACGGCACGACACGGCACGCTTAAAGCGAACTACGCGCTGCAATGGAAATGCGCCATAAGTGGCAGAGTTGGGGAAAGTAGTCAGATCTTGTACTTGAGTAAAAGTAGAAGTACCAGAGTGTAGGAATACTCTGTTACAGTAAAAGTCCTGCATTCAAAATGTGACTCAAGTAACAAAGTGTTTGCATTAAAATATAGTTAAAGGTCCCCTATTATACTGTTTTTCATCAATATATTATAGGTCTCAGATATATACAAAACATGTCTCTGAAGTGTTTGGCTCCAAACACCAAACAGATCATTGCAGCATCCCATAATCCCCTCTGTTTCAGCCCTGTTTCAAAAGTGCTGATTCTCTGTCTGTTACTTTAGATGAAAATAAGGAGCCCCTCCCCACGCCCCTCTGAGAGATATTTGGTTACAAAGAACACAATGGTGCTCTAGGAGGAGATTCAGGTGATAAGGGGGGGGTTACCTTGGTTGGTGATTGGCTAATGGTTACTCAAGCCAAAAAATCGTTATGACATCATAAAGTGGCCAAAATCTGATTAGCTCATTTTCAGACAGGTTTTTATAGAAATGGATCAGGACAAAAAGAGAGAGAATCTTTTTTCCTGAAACTTCCAGAGTCTCTTTACACAGAGGGGACACATGGTGATGTAGAAGAGACATGACAAAGTGGATTTTGCATAATAGATCCCCTTTAAAGTACCAAAAGTAAAAGTAGTCATTGTGCAGATTGGTCCATTTCAGAATAATATATATGATATGTTTTATAATGATTGATCATTAAAGTGTTATTAAAGCTGGTAAAGGTGCAGCTAGTTTGAATGACTTTGTATACTGCAGGGTAGCTTGTGAATTTACTCCAGGTGGAACTCAAGTCTGATTTAAAGGGGACCTATCAGGCAAAATGCACTTTTTGATGTCTTTTATACATAAACATGTGTCCCCGGTGTGTCGGGGAACTCACGCAGCGTCAGAAAATAAAACCCTCTCTCTTTTCCTCCGTACCCAAATCTCTAAAAACGGGGCTACAACGGAGCTGATCCAGATTTGCGTCCGATATGACGTAATATCTGAAATGTGGACCCACGGCGCTATCAGAAAGTTGCTATCAGAAACAATGCCCGACTGTTTTGGACGTAATATGGTCGGTGTTTACATTAGCATCGCTAACACTCAGAGCTAACCTGTACTGGAGAGCATGTGTGTGAAGAAGCAGGAAATAAAAAGGAACTCACCTTGTGGTATAACCGGCAAGAGAGAAAGCCTTTGAGCTCCATACTGTTTCAGAAATAATCCTTGATAATCCATGATATGGCGTTTCATCACCGCAGTATTTAGTTTAGACAGTAGCTGCCGGGTCCCGCATGAGCTCAGCCCCCTCCTTTTTTATTAATACATTTTTATTTATTTAAAGCTTTATACCCCAAATCAGCACTTTTGAAACAGGAAGTGAAATAGAGGGATATGAGGCATGGCTAGAATGGGTGATCTGTTTGGTATTTTGAGCAAAACACTTCATAGACATGTTTTTCATATATTTTTATATATCTGAGACCTATGCTATTGCCTAAAAATAGCATGATAGGTGACCTTTAAGCCTTGATTATATTTCACATCATTAATCCAAATCTGTAAAGTAACTAAAGGTATTAAATACATGTAGTGGAGTAAAAGTACACAATTTACCTCTGAACTGTAGTGGAGTAGAAGTATAACGTAGCATAACATGTAAATACTCAAGTAAAGCATAAGTACCTACAAATTGTACTAGTACCGAGTAAATGTACTAAGTTAGTTAAGTTAGGTGAAAACACATGTGGGGGCGGACCAAGGCTGTGAAGTGACTCCAATCAGCTGCTAAAACATAACTGTATTATTATATAGCAGTGATATGTGATCCTCAGAGCGTTGAAATGTGTCAAATTACATTTATTGCATTATTGGAAAAGTACATGGCACAAAAGAACAAAAAATAAAGAAACTCACGTCGTTTTTATTTATGGAAATGTCCAGTGATTTCCTGATTTCATCAAGTGTTTGGGTCCCATGTCATTATCCCTATACAACACATGTTCAGTGTTTATATTCACCAGTGGATGATCTACAATCTACATGGATGAAAATGTAAAAACAAACAAACACATTTTCTGCTCTCATTGGTTTGTTCAGCCTTTTTCCTTTTTTATTTTTACTCAATGATATATTTCTAACGAGCTCCTCGTCATGACGTATTTATTTAAATGTGTAATTCTTATCTGGACCAATCATTACAGAACTCTTTGTGGAAGTTAACGAAGATCCAACAACCAAACACAGCGTTTCTACAGCGCTTTTCAAGGATATATCTTGCAGTATAATTGGACTGAATTCGGTACAGTGATGCCAGTTCATGGGACAAAAGCTAATGCAATCTAACATCCTTACAATAAAAAATATCTCTGTGCACGTTCTTTATCCACATCAACATACACAAGCAGGACGGAGTTATAAATACCTTTCATACACCTGCTCATATAACCACTTAGTATTAGAGCCATTGTTCGGAAAGCAATACTTTATACTTGTGTACCTCCTAAACTGGTTAATGGTGGTGCATCATGGGAGGTTTTCATATAGTGTCAACCCAAAATACTATTTAATACTGCAATACGCACCCTATTGGATTATGTGTAAAGAAACATGTACTGTTATCAGTGTTGGGATGTTTCATTTCCAAAATCTCTCTAGTTACATTTCCTCAGAGAGCTTTTAATATCAAATATCATTACCATTTGATTTTAGTTTGATCTGAAATAAGATTAAGAAGCAAAGCAAACCTGGCAAATATTGCTCATCATATTACTGCATAGAGGAGAGATAGTATCAGTAGTTATTTTGTAGGAAGAACGCTCAAATGGTGGCAAATCAACAGTAGGTTCAATAGGAGCAGCACATTCAAAGACACAGGTTCAACATCAGGAAACTGGATCGTCTCCACTGACCAACACAAAATAAATCTCATCGGTATGAAAACAGTGCAAGAAAAGCAACAACAATGGAATAGTTGAGAGGAAATGACTGACAGACTTTGAAGTTTGTAATTTTTCTAATAAAATATGACGAAAACAATGTCATTGGATAACTCACAGGAGCGCTTTTTAATTATAAGCTTTGTTTTCTGCTCTCCCACTTCAAATATCTTGGTTTTATTTGCCTTTTCTCTACATATTTAAACTGAATTAGTTGAGAAAAAGCCAGATAACAAACTGGAAGGAAGACGTTTGGGTGATTTATCAATACTGTGATCTCCATTAACCGAAGGGTAAGAGCACCCTAACGTAAAATGCATTCATTATTATTACACGCCTCAACATTAGACGCATCAGGCACTGAATGGTAACACAACCACAGTCCATTTTGAAATGTATTTATCGTAAAGTTTGTAATTTTTCTAATAAAATATGACGTCCCTGACCAGAAACAATGTCATTGGATATCTCACGGGAGCACTTTTTAATTATAAGCTTTGTTTTGCTCTCACACTTCAAATACATGTGTTTTATTTGCCTTTTCTCTACGTATTTATACTGAAGTTGTTGAAAATAACAAACTAGAAGGTTGACGTTTGGGTGATTTATCAATACTGTGATCTCCATGAACCGAAGGGTAAGAGCACCCTAATGTAAAATGCATTCGTTATTATTATAATACGCCTCTATATCAGAGGTATCAGGCACTGAATGGTAACACAACACCACACAATCTCTCCCCACGTGCAGCCATGTTTGTTTCTGCTCTGAATCCATCTGAACGCTGCCTGGTTTCACGAGTGGTTTTGAGGGAAGATGGAGGGAGTAGTTCTGGCCGCTCTAAACCACGATTTTCTTCTTGCAGTCCACGGAGCAGAAGAGGAAGTTCTTCACGGCCATGAAGCGCTGGCCCACCAGACACTTGGAGCAGCCGGAGCACTTGAAGCACTGCGGGTCGGCGTGCCAGTGGAAGTCTCCGTAGGAAACCCTCTGGGCCTCGGGCTCCAAAGGGAGCTGGCAGGAGCAGCATGTCTGGGACAGAGGAGGGTGAGATGAGATTAGGGGGACAGCTTGTCGTTTAGTTTTGATTTTTTACGTTTAATATTGTTATTCTCAATAGTTTTTAGATAATGCAAGACCTACACTTAGGACAAAACATTACAAAACAGGCAACAACAACTAAGTTAGTAGGAATCAAACGATACAATTAAAGGCAACAGTTGAGCTGTAACCAAATGTGAGTGTTGTTATATCTGTTAGCCACATAACGTCGATATTTTACGTTTTTGCCAAATGTTACTATATTTTGAATTGTGGTAAAGGCAACAGCTTCCATAAACTTAACAATATATTCTATTTTTATAAACAAACACCCAGAGAAAGTCGGTCTCACCACAGCGTAGCTCTTCATGTAGCACGGCTGGCACACGGGTTTATCGTTCTCCATCACGTACGTCTCTCCGGCGAGGATACAGTCGCAATCAAAGCAGCAGAAGTGCTTCAGATGCCAGTTCTGACCCTCAGCCTGCGTGTACTCATTACTGAAGATCAGCTGTGGACAGACACAGGAAATAGGGATTAAAAAAGTGCTATGAACTTTAAAAACTAATGAATACATCCAAATCTCACGATAATTGTGCTGCAAGGAAAATCTACTAAACAAATACCTTCTAGAGACAAGGCAAGTTTATTTATACAGTCACAAATTACAGTGTGAGTTATGAAAAGTTAAGTGAGACTTCTAGCAGAATGTATTTTGGCCTTAAAATATACCGTGCTTTATGAACCAGCAGAATTATTTTAAATTAAATTATTTGACAGACAGGACATTAGTGTGAAGATCCTAAAACTTGAATGGTTTGATCCATTTTGTAAGTGTTAGTAAGGACTGGAGCAGCTCTGTACCACCTGCAGGGGTCTAACAGAAGTTTTAGTGGGTCCTGCTAAGTATAAATATATTTTAAAGGTCCCCTATTATACTGTTTTTCATCAATATATTATAGGTCTCAGATATATACAAACATGTCTCTGAAGTGTTTGGCTCCAAACACCAAACAGATCATTGCAGCATCCCATAATCCCCTCTGTTTCAGCCCTGTTTCAAAAGTGCTGATTCTCTGTCTGTTACTTTAGATGAAAATAAGGAGCCCCTCCCCACGCCCCTCTGAGAGATATTTGGTTACAAAGAACACAATGGTGCTCTAGGAGGAGATTCAGGTGATAAGGTGGGGGGGGGGGGTTACCTTGGTTGGTGATTGGCTAATGGTTACACAAGCCAAAACATCGTTATGACATCATAAAGTGGCCAAAATCTGATCAGCTCATTTTCAGACAGGTTTTTATATAAATGGATCAGGACAAAGAGAGAGAGAATCTTTGTTCCTGAAACTTTCAGAGTCTCTTTACACAGAGGGGACACATGTTGATGTAGAAGAGACATGAGAAAGTGGATTTTGCATAATAGGTGACCTTTAATAAGTAACAATGTTCTCCCCACCTCATCACAGCCTCCACAGCGCGGCTTCTCGCTGTCTCCGTAATGGCGTCCGCAGTACAGCTTGCCTTTCTTCCAGAAGTAGATCATGTCCACCAGCAGCTCGCTGCAGTTACAGCAGACGAAGCAGGCGGGGTGCCACATCTTATCGTATCCGGCGCGCTCTGCGTACACCGCCGGCTCGCCAACTCGCATCGGCTGCTGGCAGTGATTGCACGACTACAGAGGAGAGAAGAAGAAGAGAGGAGAGGATTTTAATTTGTGACGCTTCAGGAGCTCTAGTTAATCAATAACATGGTGCTTCACCAGGTGACAATAATTCCCATGTTTGATTAAGTTGAACCATTGAGTTGTGTGTCTCGTTGGTTTATGAAAGCCCAACATTTAAGGATGAATTATTGCTCAATTGTTTATCATATTTTTGATATTATTAATACATGAAGTTGTTTTAGTTACCTTTAAATTGGGCTGTTTTTTAAAAACTTTTTTCATAACCAAAAGGCCTAAGTCATGTAATAATCCGGCAGTGGCTCAGTCAGTAGGGGCTTGGACTGTGAGCCGTAGTGTCGCCGGTTCAAGTACCCCGAATAGACCTAAAATATGGAGTGTGGACTGCTACTTTGAGAGGTCCCAGTTCACCTCCTGGGCCCTACCGTGGTACCCTTGAGCAAGGCACCGGACTTTTGTTTTGTTCCTTTTAAATGTTATAACTAAAATGTTGTAGTCATGAAATAAAACATTTTTTCAGAAAACTTCCCAAAAAAAGGTTCCCAGAGTACATGTTGATATCTTTAAGTTGGTATTGTTTTTTAATAACTAAAATGACTAAGCCACGCTTTAAACAACAAAATGAATAAAACGAATAAAACAGACCATTTCAAGTGTGTGCATGTTGATGCCTTTAAAGTGCTTTGTTTGATCATTTTCTCATATTTGAAAAGATGGAAGGAGGGATTGTTTAGGATTTCTTATACATTTTATTCCACTATTTTTCTTTTTGTATTTACTTGCACTATTTTTTCTGTTTTTCTGTTTTATTGTGTTGCACTGTGGGAGGAGCCTGTGACCTAATATTTTCATTGTCATAACTACACTGTAGCCATCATGTACACATGACCATAAAAGCCTTGAACCTTGAAATGAGTTCAATTGAATGACTTGATTCAGGAGTTTGTAGTCCTATTTGAATACATTTGACACACAATGCCTGTTATATATGGAGCAACACTATCCGGAAAATTGCATGTACATAAAATAACACTGTGTTAGACAGCAGCTTCCTGTCCCCAAAATACTTATTCTTTCATCCCCTTTAATCATTACAAAGGATTTGTATGTACTTCCTGTACACAAAGGCCAGTATCCTTCTCTTTGAGTCCATTTCAAAGTCATGAAGGCCTCATTTGATCTGACATATCACATTTTATAAGGGAGCATTTGAAGTATCTGCACTCTATGAATGAAAAGGGCCCATTTTACTGCTTACAGAAGGCCACAGTGACCCTGGTGAGATTCATCAAGATAGCATGGCTGCTGGTGGAGCTAAGGGGAAGTCAGAGATAAGTAAAGTACATGGATGTGTTCAAGGAGAGAAGAGAGTGTTCCTGACATTGTGCAGTCACGTATAATGTGAGGAATTAATAAGGAGGAGGTTAAAGAAAGTAGAGAAATATCTTAAATCATAAGACTGCACACAGCAGGATCTAACAGGCGGCACATGGTGATGTTAAAAAAAACCTCTGTTAGTGACTCATGACCCAGAGTAAGAGCTGGTCTTACAGCTCCACCTGGTGTTGAGTTCAGGAACATCTTTGGGGTAATTAATAGTGGCAGTAATGCACTGTAACATCAGGTTTAATGTTGTTTATTTCCGTAATTAAAACCTGGTTGTAAAGACATCTCAAAAGTATGTATTGGACCTAGAGTGAAGTGCAACTATGCATTGTCAATTTGGTAAAAACAAAATAGTTTATTTGAGATATTTCTATTTATTGATTGTATTTTTTTGTTTGTTGATGCATATAATGCCATATATGATGTTTTTAAATGTTTTTTTGCCGATTGTAAATATTTGTTTTGTTTTCCTGACAAAGCAGACGTCTAATTCAAATACATCCAAATATTCAGTAAAAAAAAACACAAAAGATAACGGTCATTACATTTCATCTGGTGCTTATTATTTCCAAATGCTACGTCACAATAAAGCGTGTTTGCAACCAAGTGCAAAAAGTTCCCGATTACCTACAATTTGTATTATTAATCATTTGATTTCGTGGATCCACTTCAGCACAGCGCCCCTAGAGTACGAAAGGATTGACTGCTTCCTACTGAACTGTAGCCTCAACATAAGATCGTGTCCTCGCAACTTATTTTCATTGGTTAACTCAATAGGCGCTTTCACACCAAGTACTTTGTCGTACTTAGTTCTTCAGAACTTAGTTCATCAGAACTCTTTAATTCCTGAACTATCTAGATGATCGCCTTCACACCGGAATAAGTCCCTGGGGGAGGATTAGGCAAATGAAGCCGCTGACGTCACTTCTTCTTCTTCTTCTTCTACTTTGGGTTTACTGGCAGGCCGCAAACAACTTCACGGCGTATACTGCCACCCGAAGTCCCCGGCCGGAAGTCCCCGGAGTTGGGGACTGGCTTCAGTAGAAGCTGCTGGGACTCCCAGCAGCCGTTTGTGCGCTGGGCTAATGCTAATAATGCTAATGCGAGGAAAATAAAATGGCGGTGCCGGCTTCACAAAACCTTTTGGGAGTTTTACGGGGCGTGGTTTGCAATCCGCCCAGCCAATCAGAAATGGGAACCTTTTTCTCCCATGAAAGTACCTGCTCTCTAGCAGGGACTGAAAAGGGAGTGAAAAGGTTCACATGAACTAAATTCTAGTTCCGGATTTTTTTGGTGTGAACGCAAATTTTCGGAACTATATCAGAACTATACTGGGAAAAGTACTCCGGTGTGAAAGCGCCTATTGTATAATAAACAGGAATGATGTGGTAGTAAAGAAGAAGAATAATTGTTGCCTCTCTCTTTGGTTGTTATCAATATTAAACCATTTGAAAGAGTCCATTCAGTTCAATAATGGCACGTCTTAATATGATACAGTTTAACTCGCCAGGCTTCACTACATATTGTCTGTGTGCCTATTCCACTTTAGCGAAACAGTAGCTAGTTAAACTGTATCATATTAAGACGATACGACCATATTATCTGTAATCAGGAATCAGTAAAAAATATAAAGTTGGGCAATTATTATTTCTGAACAAGCTGTAAAGGGAAGGTTGAAAAAAAACGATGGGGGGAAAAAAAGTGCAAAATACCAAAAAGAAAGCATTTTAAAGTTTAAAAAAGTTGTAGAATCTGGAAATAGTATTTTTAAATACGTTATAATAATTTCAACCAATGATCTGGCCTTAATGTATACAGTTTCATTTAAAGTAGCAACGTGTTTGATAAATAAATAATCGACTTACGAAGGCCTGTTGTGGGAGTCCAGCCTGCTGAGATCCAGGAGCGCCCATCGCTCCTGAGCCGGGCCCTGGGAGGGCACCAGCAACACCAGAACCAGGAACACCAGCATATCCAGGAACACCGGGAGCACCAGCAGAACCAGGAGCACCAGCAGAACCAGGAGCACCAGGAACACCAGCATATCCAGCATAACCAGGAACACCGGGAACACCAGAAACCTCAGCATAACCAGGAACAGCGGCAGAACCAGGAACACCAGCAATACCAGCAGAACCGGGAACACCAGCATATCCAGCATAACCAGCAACACCGGGAGCACCAGCAGGACCAGGAAGACCAGCAGAACCAGGAGCACCAGCAGAACCAGGAGCACCAGGAGCACCAGCATAACCAGCAGAACCAGGAGCACCAGCAGAACCAGCAGAACCAGGAACACCAGAAGCACCAGCAGAACCAGGAGCACCAGGAAGACCAGGAGCACCAGCATAACCAGCAGAACCAGGAGCACCAGGAAGACCAGCAGAACCAGGAACACCAGCATAACCAGTAGCACCAGCATAACCAGGAACACCAGCAGAACCAGGAACACCAGGAGCACCAGCAGAACCAGGAGCACCAGCAGAACCAGGAGCACCAGCTCCTCTACCTCCTGCTCCAAAACCCACACCAACTCCAGGACCTGCATTCCCTGGCCCATAACCAGCTCCAGAACCATAACCAGCTCCAATACCAGGACCTCCAGCTCCAGCTCCCACTCCTCCCGGTCCATACCCGGCCCCTCCAGCACCGTGAGCCCCTCCAGCTCCTCCCCCGGCCCGAACCAGAGCCATCTCCTCGGGCAGGATGACGTCTGCCACGCCCAACGCCTCGTCCTTGTACTTTCTGACGAACTGCTGCATCTGCTTGACCTCGGCGGGGCTCAACTCGTGGCACTGGGCCGGGTCCTGGTCGTGTTCTGGCAGCTGGCGGGCCATCTGCTGCCGGCGGTACACGGCTCCCTCGGTACCGGCCACCGGACGCTTCTCTGCGGGGAGCAGCTCGATGTACCGCGCCGCCTGGAAGAGAGAGAGGGGGAAGAAATGGGAAGAATCAGAGATTGTGTGAAGGCCAGAGAGGTGAAGGGCTCAGACAGGAAGTTAAGGACCAATCAGAAAGAGACTGAGAGGAAATACTTGAACAAAAACGTGTTTAAAACAGAGGTTTGTGGTGAGAAAATGTGCAAAACAAGAGTACTGCAGATTCAGTAGCAGACTAAACAAACAGATACAGGACTTCCAGACGGACAGTATTACAATATTGCAAGCCATACCGCAATTGCACATTTCTTTCCAAATCTTGCAGCCCTATTTACTTTCTTCTATATTTTTCTTAAGATATTTAAAATGGCACTGTCGTATACATTAATATGTAATCAATTTAGGCACCCCTCCCATCAAAAAAAAAAGAAATCCGTCACTTCAGCCCACAGTTTGAACTCTTACCAGGTACTTATTGGCGACAGGTGGAGCCCACTCGTAGGTGACGGACATCATGGGCACGTCTCTGGGCACCGTGTTGGCTGAGGCGAGGCTGACGGTGACGGGCACTCTGTTGGCCTTCAGGGGCGTGAGGCTGGCTGCTGGAGGACGAACACCCCCTGATGAACCTGCAGCGCCCCTTGCTGGACCTGCAGCGCCCCCTGCTGGCTGCACAGAACCGGCGGTGGCAGGCGGGCGCACCACAGAAGAAGAGGAGGCGCCGGGCGGCACGATGTACGCGGTGCCGCTGCTGGGCATGGAGATGGTCACCATGTTGCCGCGGTAGCTGGGGACACCGTCCGTCTTCAGCTTGGCGATCAGGCCGGTGTACTTGGTGTCCTCGAACAGCTTCCCCACCTTCTTGTTCTCCTCAGAGATCATCTGCACGTTGTGCTCCGTCAGCCCACATTTACAGTTCCTGCAGATTTTCCTACGGAGAAAAAGTGTAAAATGTTAACGATTTTTTAAATGTTGACCAGTATGTTCAGTTATTTTTAGTGTGAGAGAAAGAATGCCTGTTTTTATTGCCTGTATGTATTGGTAACTGTCTCATGATTCAATATGTAAATTAACACAGGTTACAAAGTGTTTTACAGAGAGAACACAATTACTGTGTGTAAAGCGCATACATTTACAATCACAAACAGACGCATAAAAAAAAGTAATAGTTACTACCCAGATCATGAAGTTTTATTCTTGAATTGAAGCCTGGTTAATTGTAGAAACCTATTATTTTGCTTTGTATGTGTGGAATAAGCTTCTAACCCCTTAGGCTCACTTAACTGTGTTGTTATTCTTTTAAACAAACATATATATATTTTCTAACTTTAGAAACAACAATCTGTCTCAACGTTGCTACATTATTAGCACCAATGCAACAAGCTTAGTGTTAAATTAATATTGAAATATCTGCCCTTCTCACAAGCCTCAACACAACCTACCTCATATTTGCAGAGTAACGATGACATAATTTATGACTGCTCAGCATGCTTCAGCTTGAGCAAGAACACAGACTTCTCACTGCCATGAGATGCTTTTAAACCCAGTTTGTTTGTAAAGGTGAGAAGAAACCGACACAATGACAGCGTTTTATGTTCAGGGAAAAAATCTGGAAGCCCTGTGAAGTTTGTATACACTCAAGTGCTGCTATATTCACAACTACTATTACTATTACTTTAACTACGATACTATCTTAGCATCTTACACCACGTGATGATCAGTGGAATATTGAGACACCATTGTGTTCATGTACTTCCTCGTGCACGATATATTCAAAGTGGGCAACCAGTCATGACAACAGCTGTACTATAGGAATACAAATCCAAAGGGGAAGGTCAATGGTAATTTATTCGTGTGAAATTATGAATAAGCAGCAGTTTTACAGTTTTGGAGATGAGGAAAGCCTTTGTGTCGCTGTTGGACTGTAACGGCTCCACATTCCTGTCTGAGTGTCCCACGGTGTGCTGGGGGGGGGGGGGGCATCAGGGCACATGTTTCTGTCTTCAGGGAGACTAACCAAGTGTGGACGATTGTTCAGAGAGAACAGTAAGCCATGAGCCACTGGTCCTAATAATTGAACGTATTGTGATGGAGGAAGCAAGACAGAGGACTCTGGGTAGTCTGTCTGTGCACAGTCCAAGGTTTTTTCCAAATCTTGCAGCCCTATTTACTTTCTTCTATATTTTTCTTAAAGTGGACCTATCATGCTATATTTGAATAATATAGTGTAGGACCATACATATATAAGGCATATTTATACTTTTTTTTTTTCAAAATACCAAACAGATCATGCATTTTAGCCATACCTCATTTCACTCAATTTGACATTTTTTAGCTCTGTGTTTGTAAGGGCAGATAAGGGCAGAACAGCACCACCTACAGGCCTGGCATATGTACTACAGCGTCTCCAGCGCTTTCGAACGGCAATGGCCGTGGCTGTCTCCTCCTGATTGGTGGAGTTGGCCCAATAGCCGTAGCGCCACTGTTCTGACTTCAGGACAGTGTTCAAATCTGGATCAGTTTTTATCAGATCCGTTGCAGCCCCTTTTTTAGAGATTTGGGTATGGAGGAAAATAGAGAGGGTTGTGTTTTCTGACACTTGGTGAGTTCCCTGGAACACCGGGGACACATATTCATGTATAAAAGACGTACAAAAGTGCATTTTGCATGATAGGTCCCCTTTAAGATATTTAAAATGGCACTGTCTTATACATTCATATGTAATCAATAAAAATATTCATCACTCATATTCGAATACCTGAATCAGCCCTGGAAGCTGCTCATGTTAAATTGGGATAGAGAGTGATGAGCCACAGTCACATTTCATGCTGCTTTTGAACAGCTGTACTAACCTCCAGAAATGCAGGTCGAAGCCTTCACACTTGTCCTTGCATTTCAAACAGGAAGCTCCGGCACCAAACTCGTGGCCGAGGGTCATCTGTGAACAGAGAACATGAGGGAGATTAGGAGCCATCACAGATGAGTTTAGACTGCTTCACTACACAGACGGAAATACTGAGCTTCCAGTAGAGCAGGGCAAGCAGCTGGGATTATGAAAATACAAACTTCAAGAGGCTGCAAAGTAGAACAACTTCAGATTTAGAAGCATAATGTTAGAGAAGCACGATCATATGTTTGTTTGTTTTGTACCAGGGAAAGCACAGGTGAAACCATCGCTCTGTTTATGAGTTGGATTTTGGATTATTGGAGTAAATGAAGTGAACAAAACAACGTTCTGGACAAAAACCACCTCAGATACTCAGAGACAGTTTCATCCCTCAGGCCATAAGACTATTAAACACATTAGCTTTGTAAAGTGCTAAACATGGGTCTGTTTGCATCCAATTTATATATCTATGTATGTATCATATTCTATTTATGTGTATATACTTCTAGCACTATTTCTATTTGATTTGTATTTACTTACAACATTCTCTTGCACTATTTTATTTCTGTTCTGTTATTTCCTTCACAATTTGTATTGGTTTTATTTGTTTTATGTCCTATTCATGGTGCACTGTTGGAGGAGCCTGTGACTTAAGTGTTTCCATTGTCATATATACACTGACAATTGTAGATATTAAACAATTGTCAAAGATAAAACTGAGGTAATGGTTTTTGGAGCCAAGGCAGAACGTATACAAGTTAGCGCTGAGCTTTAGTCTGCAATGTTCAAAACAACAGATAAAGCCAGAAATGTAGGTGTAGTCATGGACTCTGACCTGAGTTTCAACAGTCACATTAAAACAGTTACTAAATCAGCCTACTATCACCTAAAGAATATATCTAGGATTAAAAGACTAATGTCACAGCAGGATTTGGAAAAACTTGTCCATGCTTTTATCTTCAGTAGACTGGACTACTGTAATGGTGTCTTCACAGGTCTCACTAAAAAATCTATTAGAAAGCTGCAGCTGATTCAGAACGCCGCTGCTCGAGTCCTCACTGACACTAAGAAAGTGGATCACATCACTCCTGTTCTGAAGTCTTTACACTGGCTTCCTGTGTGTCAAAGAATAGATTTCAAAATATTGTTGCTGGTTTATAAAGCTTTGAATGGTTTAGGCCCAAAATACATTTCTGATCTCCTGCTAAATTATGAACCATCCAGATCTCTCAGGTCTTCAGGGACTGGTCAGCTTTCTGTCCCCAGAGTCAGAACTAAACATGGAGAAGTTCAGTTATTATGCTCCAAATATCTGGAACAAACTCCCAGAAACCTGCAGGTCCGCTGCAACTCTTACTTTTAAATCCAGGCTGAAGACTTTTCTTTTTGTCGCCGCTTTTAATTGAACTATTCACATCTTAAACTGCACTGTAACTTTTATTATCTTTGCTTTTTATCTTTGCTTTTAAATGAGTGTTTCTAGATATCATTTTATGATATGTTTCTTAATGCTCTTAATGTCTTTCATTTTTGTAAAGCACTTTGAATTGCCTTGTGTTGAAAGGTGCTATATAAATAAACGTGCCTTGCCTTACACTGGAGCTACTGTGCACAATAAAGCTTTGAATCTTGAATGAATGTTGTATCTTCTTGCCTTGACATTGGATCATTATTCCCTGCGTCAGATTTGCTTTCTGGTGCCTCAGCGGCAGTTTTAGTTTAAGTTATTGTTCTGTTATTTCTATATTTTGACCGCTACACAAAGAAATCTATATAGTACATTAATGTGGAGGGAACATTGAAATGGTAGAAAAAGTAAAATGCCATCTGAAAGGGACTAGCCGACAAATAAAATTCACAAGATCCAGAGACGTTTGAGTAAAAATAGCCAAAAGTGAAAGATAAACTTGGTGGAAAAACGAAATTAAAAGTCACTTATCATTTGGGCTGGGAGGATTTGTGATCAAAACAAAAATGCCATTAGAGACATTTTAAAATTTCTCTTCAATTTTCTATAAATGGAGTCATTTTTATGATCCAGTTTCTATCTTCTGTCCTGCATTATTTCCCCAGTCTTCAGAGTCAAACAACGTCGACCTTAAGCCCTTACGGCTGTTTACGACCATATATGGACATCTATTCAAAGCTGCTGAAAGCCTCATGGGACCCCGGCAGGCAGCGCTTTGTCGGAGACGTTTTGACCCAAAAGACTCGTCTCACTACTGAGGAATGCAGACCGTGACTCCTGTTTCTAACGGCAACGTCCATATTTCAGGCTCCGTGACACCTCCTTTCCTCCTGTGGGGGCCATGCAGGAGCAGGATAATGGAGTCTCGCAGCTAGATTTGTTATGGTAACTGAACTCGTAAACACATAGAGAATTTAACGATCATTTATCGTCCTGATGGGGACAGGGCTGCACAACAAAATGCAGCTCAACAAGAAAGACAAGACAAAACAGTACTGCATTCCTGAAGTGAAATATTTAAAATGGCATCAGGGGAAATAAATCTGAGTGAAGTTGCACAGTTGTTATACTTATTTCCAAACCTTTTCTTGACAGTTTTCTATCACACACTTGGGATATTTTCTGTTTATGATCCTGATCTGATACTAACGTTTTCTAGCGAATCAAAACAAGACATCCTATTTTTGATTTATTGTATAAAATGGGCTAAATAGAGTCATTAAAAGGTAGGGTAGGTAAGAATGGAGAAACCAGCTCGAGTGTGCTAGAATTTGAAAGTACACAACCGGAAAAAATCTGCCTCTTCCTTCAGACTTCCTTACAGAGCCCCTCCTCCAACACACACGAACGCGCACATGACCAATGAGGGCACGAGATAAGTTTGTGCACAGATGGAAGGCTGACAGGCAGGTAGGCCATCCAGTTATTTTAGCCGGGCCGGCTCAGATGATTGGTCGTGCTTTTTACAGTACTACGGCTTCCACAGATGACATTTTTTTTATGTATTTATTGTCAAAGCATTTAATGTATTCATTGCTATCGGGATGTTAAGAGCATTCCATGGAATATAACAAAAAGTGTTTCTGAAGTGAATTACCTACCCCACCTTTAAACCTGGAAATTTGTGATAAAAGATTTTTGTGAACAAGATTAGAAATGAAAACTTTAGGTGCTAGGAAGATTTTGATTCTTGTTGCAACAAATGTTAAAGTCTTGAACTCCATCTTGCTTGCAAAGTCTGTCATTAGCCATCTTCAGAGAAAGTACGGTGTTCATTTGACCTCACTCTGCACGAGAGCTACAGATAAAAACCTCACATTCAAAAGGAAGTGTTTGGATTTCAAGCCAGCCGAGCTAAGTGTTCACTCGTACTGGAAGTCTAAATATTTGTCTCGGGTCTGAAGACGCCTGCCCATGTTTGGCTGAGGTCACTCAGGGTGTGTGTTTCCTTGGAACTGAGTTTCACAAACTGCATTAGAAGCTGATATTAATCAGTGGGGTTGTATCGTGACTAATAGGATGAATGATTACAGTGACTCTGCAAAGACGTTGTTCAGACACACAGCTCCGGTCTGATGAGTCACTTTGCTGCAGAAGGCCTGAGCTGCAGACCAGCTGGAAACACTTTGGAGACGTTTTAATTTTATGTCAGCAGGTCACCTTAACTCCGACCACAACACCTAATTTCTACAATAATAAAAGGAAGCCAAATCACCCATTTTGGAACTTTTACTTTTCTAACTCTACTGTCATTTGAGTTGCCTTGCATCTACGCAATGCCTACATCATTGTATTTCAAGCAGAGTATAGTGGTATTAATCCAGCCCAACAATTTAATAACCGTTGTTTCTATATTTTAAGTAGCGCGTCCTTAGTTTGGTTTTACTGTAATACTCATAAACGTATAATTAAATTATCTTAACAATGAGAGCTACATTATCTCTACAATACATAGATTAAATATATTTTACTTACTAATACATTACATCGTCTTTTAACACAAACTCCTCTAACCATAAATGCCTTTTTTTTTTAGACCCTTAATGTTGTTTTGGAGACAATTTGGTGATGATTTTAAATGTTTCATGTTACACTTTTTGTGACTGTTTGCAAAAAAAGGTCCTACAGTGCAAGTAGTCCAACAGGGTTATCCAAAGCAAACACAATTAGATCACCCGTCGCTAATTTTACCTCAAAATTAAGCATATGGCAACCTTAAGTGTTAAGAGTTGAAAATTATTTCAAATTAGGTCAAACAATGTGAGGAAATGTACCAAAAAGCACTTCAATCTAACAGACAGGGTTCATACACTTTTTCACCAATTTCTCTCACTTCTCCATGACCTTTACCTAATTTTCCATGACCAAAAACATTACTCTTTCTCAGCGGTACCACTGAAAATGGTTTATTTTAACATGGAACAGGAAAATAAGGTCTGCATATGAAACATGTTGTGCCTATCTAAAACAAATCCAATAGTTGGCTTACTAGCTTCTACACGCTAAAGCAGCTAAAATCTCTCACCAGCAAAATACCTCGACAGTTAAATGCCATTTTATGTTTCATTACTATACGATACAGTATTTATTATCATTATAGTATTACTATTTCGGCGATTAGCTAAAATATAAATTATATTTGATGCAACTTTAGTTACATTTCCATGACTTTTCCAAAACTTTGGGAAAAATATTGTTTTCCATAACTTTTCCAGGGCCTGGAATTTGCATTTTGAATTTCCATTACTTTTCCAGGTTTTTAATGACCGTAGGAAGGAACCCTGAACAGAGTGTTCTTGAGTTCCCAGCCTGTACAGTGCGCTCCTTGTCACAACTCATTACCTCAGCCTTGTTTTTTGGAAGCAGCATGAGCCTAATTGAGCATAATATTACCTAAACACACATGGTGCTTGTCTGGTTACAGTTTGACAGTAATTGCACCCCCCAACACTTCTCCCCTCAGGGTCATCCGGCTGATCAGACTCACTCTCCAGCAGCAGATTCATGTATATAGTAAACACAAGATGTATGGGCTGTTATTGGGGTTGACTTGATTAAGTTAAAGGCAGGCTTCACTGACCAGCATCCAAGTATTCAGATCCTTTACTTAAGTACAAGTGCCAATCACTTATTACAACAATTCTCCCTTATAGTAAAACTCCTCATTCAAATGATCAGTCAAGTAGAAGTAAAGAAGTATTATCAGCAAAATGTACTTAAATTAACAAAAGTAAACTCACTCAGCAGAGAAATTCATTACGTTTGTCATATATTTTGACTTATGGTATGATATTACATGACGTTTAATATTGTTGCATGAAGTAGTGTTTTATTGCTGTCGACAAACAAAGGTCTGATACACTTTACAACTGTCTTTTTTAACTTTTATTCCTAATATGTTGGATTCTCTCACCTTAAAGAGGACATATCGTGCTTATGTTCAGGTGTATATCAGTATGTAGTGTCTCTACTTTAAAGAGTCCTCTCCTGCTGATGTTCAGGTGTATATCAGTATGTAGTGTCTCTACTTTAAAGAGTCCTCTCCTGCTGATGTTCAGGTGTATATCAGTATGTAGTGTCTCTACTTTAAAGAGTCCTCTCCTGCTGATGTTCAAGTGTATATCAGTATGTAGTATCTCTACTTTAAAGAGTCCTCTCCTGCTGATGTTCAGGTGTATATCAGTATGTAGTGTCTCTACTTTAAAGAGTTCTCTCCTGCTGATGTTCAGGTGTATATCAGTATGTAGTGTCTCTACTTTAAAGAGTCCTCTCCTGCTGATGTTCAGGTTCATATCAGTATGTAGTGTCTCTACTTTAAAGAGTCCTCTCCTGCTGATGTTCAGGTGTATATCAGTATGTAGTGTCTCTACTTTAAAGAGTCCTCTCCTGAAGTAGGGAAATGTCAGCAGGCATATGAATACATGTTGGCTTTATTGAGAGTTCCTTGACTTTGTTGTTTAGTGATCCTGCCCCTGACAATACATGACTGCCTAAAAAAAGATCAAATAAGTCACAATGGCTGGTTAAAGCCTTAAATTACACACGTTGTGAGTGGTAAACTATATATTAGTGTCATGCCACACATGCAGAGTAGGCATCATTGTGTGCTTCACCCACTTTTAATTGACAGTTTGGCTCTAGACGTAAGCAAGACTCACTGCTTTAAGTAAACTATGACACACACACACACACACACACACACACACACACACACACACACACACACACACACACACACACACACACACACACACACACACACACACACACACACACACACACACACACACACACACACACACACACACCACACACACACACACACACACACACACACACACACACACACACACACACACACACACACACACACACACACACACACACACACACACACACACACACACACACACACACACACACACACACACACCTTCTGTTACCCCTGCAGGAATATGAACTGCCCTCCCACTGCTGACAGCCATCTGCAGGTCTATGCACGGATACAACAACTCGTGCAAACATTATTAGCAACAAAATCTGAAGGGGAACTGGCTCTCAAAACAACAACTTCACAGGGAAAACTTAAAGCACATCGCAAAGTAGATACACTCTAAATATCATAAGAAGACAAAGCAGACTTAAATCAGAAGTATGCAAACAATCCAAAGCATGCAACATGCCCAAGATCAAATATCTGATCTTAAATGCATGAACATCCAAACTCTGTAGCATGTTGCAAATATAGTAAGTTAAAACCAACACTTTCATAAAACAACAGTCACATTTCAATCCACATTGCAGACTAGATAACTCTTAGTCCTAAAACGCATGACCAAATTCCATTAAATATTCGTCTAATTGTATATCCAGTTGCTTAATAAGCTCAAGTTTATGAAGATAATTACATCCATTCACATATTATAAGCACTACTGAGAGTAGGTCTACGATTCGGCATCTGTATGATACAAACAGCACCTCTCAATCTTTGGTTAATTGACTTTTTCTACTGGTTGCATTTCACTGTCAATATGAATCAGTGTCCGGTATTGAGCAATGCGCACTGATACCAAAACACTTCACTTCACATCACTTTTGTATAAACTGCAAGATTTTCGTGTACAACATCCATGCCGAAGTGTGCCATAGCTTATATTGTTTTGCTGAATAAGATTTAAAATGTCTAAAAGCGTATGAGATTTGTTAAAACGTAATGTGACACATAGTAGTCCACATTTCCAATGCAGTTTGGTGTGAAGTGTGTTCAAGTGGGAAAAGTAGTTCTAAAAGGGTTTGCTAAGAAAGAAGGGAACAACTTAAGTTTTGCAAACCAGTCAACCAGTTATTGTTTATCTTATATATAAAGATGTAGTGGATACGTGTTGTTTGGAGTATTTAAATGTGAGTTTAATCAGTGAAAATGCAAAGACTTGGCTGTGGAAAAAGTTCTAAATGAAAGAGGAAAACTAAAGTAGAAAGTCTCTCTGCGATACTGTCACTTTTCTCGCCACCTGCCCGGGTTCGGCACACCTTTTCAGGGCGTTCCCCGGTCAGAGAGAGATACGGAGAACACCGGGGGGAATCTTACCTTCTTCACTTCCTTCTCTATCTCCATGTTTGTGTCTTTTTTTCCAGGAGTCCACTCGGTCCAGAAGAGGAGCCCAGACGAGCCAAAACTAAAACAAACTGTCAAAATCTTAAACTGAGAGAAAAGGGAGCAGAAATCATGAAGCGCCCGGTTCACTCTCCGGTTTTCCTCGGAGGTCCTGCTCCAGTCCGCACTGGTGGTGTCAAGTAAACTACATTAACAACATGGCTTCCGGTCAAAGCTTTCAACATAAAACTCGTGTTCGAATTGTTTACATACGGGTACCTACAGTAATGAAAAATGTGACAGTGTAACAGCCGTAGCAGACACAATGTTTATATCGTCTGAACATATATGTTAATTTGTAATAATACATATAGAGAGGCGAAGTCCCTCCCTTTCCGGGGGACCTCCATGGGACCTTATTTCGGAAAAGTTATGCATTGAAGTCAATGGCGAGAGAAAGATTATCTTTCGATCCCGTTTGAATTGTGCCACGAATTACACATATGATGTTTGTCAATTTAAAAGATAATTTTGCAAGTCAAACAAATTAAAATGTGTCGTAAAAATGTGAAGTAACACTTTTTTTGTGTGAAACCGCTCAATGAACTACATCTCCCGTCTCGCACCACACACCAAGACGGCCGTCACGTTGGCACATTTCACTTCTTTCTTTCAGAATGAGGCGAAAAGTATTAAAAGAGGTGAAAATCACTACAAGTCTGGGCATGTTGAGAGCTGTACATACACACAAGGGGAGTTAGTCGGTTCCGTAAGAGCCAGCATGCGGGACCGGGATTCTGGGATTTGTAGTCTTTCTAGTTGCGTATTTTTCATAGTCTTATATTTCAACAGTTTTACGACAAACTGTGACTTTTTTAAGATTGACAAACATCATATGTGTAATTCGTGGCACAATTCAAATGGGATCGAAAGATAGGTTTTCTCTCCCCATTGACTTCAATACATACTTTTTCCGAAATAAGGTCCATGGGTCGGAAGTAGATGGGCGGGACTTCGCCTCTCTATAATACATTACATTTTTGGTAACTTTTGTACTTGTTTTTTTTTGGAAGAGAAAGACTTTAAATTAAAAAAGCAGTGTAAAAGGACAAATTGTGCCCATGTTTATGACACAAAAGTTGCAAAATTAAAAAAATTAAATGAATAGAACTACTAATTCTACTTAAAAAAATAAATACATATTTATCATATGAAATTAATGATAATATATAGAGTAAAATCTTATTATTTTGGTAATAAAAGAACAACATTAATGATTTGGGTAGACAAAGAACACTGTGTAACACTGTATTTATTCGGAGAAGGTTCCGCAGCCTCCGCTCGAGCTCCACCAGGCTGATGGTCCTGGACTTTAACCCCCCCCCCCCACACACAACCTTCCCTCATCCTTCCCTCATCCAGCACCAGTCACTTTTCTGCCCATCTCCGCTGCTACTGCACTGAAACTGTACTTTGAACATTTTTCTATTTTGCACAAAAAATACTTGCATTAATGTTAATTCATGTTCTGTGGACTGTGTTTTTAAATATATTATTAAACCAGCACTTATTAATACTATTACTTAGTTGTATACCCCGTTTATCTAGGCCCTTTCTTGTATCTTTTATGTATATATGTCACACTGTGGGACTGCGGGAAACGGTATCTGGAGATTTCTGTATGTATAACACATGTAGACATTTTTTACTTTGACTTTTGACTTTGACTTTATGACACAAAAGTTGCATAGTACTTGAAAATAAATGAATATAAGCACCAGACTTCATTGAGTGTTTTTAAAGCTTGTTTTGTCTAAAAGTTACATATTGCAATGTTTTTAACTTGAAGACAAAGGTAAATGTGTTAAATATCAACACAGAAATGTGTAAATCAAATACAGGGATCTGAAAAAATGTGCAAATGTAGCTCTACATTTTTAGTGAAGATACTGTTGTGTTGCAGCTATTATACATCCATGTGTTGTAGTTTTTGTTTTCATTTTACATTGCAGATCAAGTGTCCTTACTTCCGGTGAAATGTCTACATCCTCTCTCCAGCTTGACTCCGATCTCACTCTGGAGGTCCCGTTCACTTTTCATTGATTTTCAGCGGGGCGACGTCCGCCATGATAGATCTTCATATTGACCAATAGGAATAGAGGATGCGTGAACTAGAGCACAAAACGACCAATCAGAGAGCAGCAAGGGCGTGTCCTTGTCATAACAAAGGACGTGTTAGTATTGTGACAGAATCAACCTGCTTTAGTGCTGATTCAAGATGTGCTGTTTTCTCTACCATATAATTTACTTGTTATTGTTCTTATTATGATTTTATGAGTTTTTAAAAAGGCTTGTTATAAACACATATGTAAAATCAGTGGTAAGGTTTGTCTTTGTTTTAAAAAAATACAGTTTTTCATTGAACAAGTAGGTTTGGCTACTCATTGGAAAGTCGATGCACACATGGGATGTTTTCTTGTCCGTAATGAAATGGCTGTAAAACATGTTGCCTCAGTGACAGGAAACAATGTGGTTAGCAACTTCCTGTGTGAACTAGTGATGTGTCGGTCGCGAACGAGCCGGCTCAAAGAGCCGGCTCTTTTAAGTGAACGACGGGAGCCGGCTCGCGCCCGCGAACGAGCCGTTTTTTTTTGTTATTTTGTTGTTGTTAAGTAATACAAGACAGAATGATATGATGATCTCCGCGCTACAGCTGCTCCGTGCATGCATGCAGTGACATGTAATATCCAAGGATTAGAGACTGTTGGATGCTGCTGTTTTGAGCATTGCAATACATTTATTTTTATTATGTTTTTTTATGATTAGAGACGGTTGGATGCTGCTGTACTGAGCATTGCAATATATTTATTTTCACTATGTTATTTATTTATGATTATCCTTGGGCTCGGCAAAGATTTGATGTCAGCTGTTGCTGTCTTTTTTTCTATAGTTAATACTGAAATAGAGCCCTGCTGTTTAGTCAGGGCCTTTTCTTTAAATATAATTTTAAAATGTCGATAGAGTAGCCCATTTTTTAAAATGTCTATGCTTAAGTTTTTATCTCAATCTCAATCTTTATTTATTTATATAGCACATTTAAAACAACCTTCAGTTGACCAAAGTGCTGTACAGGCAATAAATATTAAATAACACAATGGGAGTACAATAATAAAACAATAATTAAAAACATGATAAAAAGCACAATAACTAGAAAAATATTTTTTTAAAAAACACATACAAATGTAAAAATGTAATGTTCAACTAGTATTAAAAGCCAGTGCAAAGAGGTGAGTTTTTAGCTGAGATTTAAAAAGTTCAATAGACTCAGCAGTCCGGATATGTACTGGGAGGCTGTTCCACAGTCTAGGAGCTGCAACACTGAAAGCCCTGTCACCTCGGGTTTTGTTATAGGTGTTGCTATCTGCTTTGTGTAGCGTGGTTCGACAAGCAAGTCTGTGCATTCATTGGGTGGTATCAGAGAGATACAAGGGTCTGTAAATGCAATGAAAACAATTGGCCACAGCAAATAATTGATATTAAACATGTCATTTTTACTTTTGAATACTTCCGTACAAAGGATGTATTGAATAATTTAAGTGATATGTGTACACATATAAATCATTAGTCAAAACAAGGCTACATTTGATTGAATTATAAAAGGTATAATATGTGGTAAACTGAAGAGCCGTTTGGGAGCCGAAAGAGCCGGCTCTTCTTGGTGAGCCGAGCCAAATGATCCGGCTCACCAAGAAGAGCCGGAATTCCCATCACTAGTGTGAACTGCAGCTGGCCTTCTTAAAGGAAACAACACTGTCACACCCTGACAGGTCAGAGGTTTTATCTGTCAAGGGGCTGGGTGTGTGTGTGTGTGTGTGTGTGTGTGTGTGTGTGTGTGTGTGTGTGTGTGTGTGTGTGTGTGTGTGTGTGTGTGTGTGTGTGTGTGTGTGTGTGTGTGTGTGTGTGTGTGTGTGTGTGTGTGTGTGTGTGTGTGTGTGTGTGTGTGTATGGCTTTTTTTTAGCAACACTTAACATGACTGTAACGTGTGGTCTATTCAGTCTGGTATGGACATCTGTAATACAGAATATAAACTCTCAGACAGCTGTTTTACAACATATCTAGAGCTTTGTCATTTTGTCATAACTGACAAAGGTAGCAGACTCAAACAAATGGGCGTTAATGACACTTCATAGCGTGTTTTTGCTCCTATTATAGTAACTAGTTTGCTTCTTACAGCAAAGGTTTTTGATATCAGTCTTGATGCCAGTTTACATTTTAGTAAGTAATATAGCAGTGTTGAAAACCTTGCAGACTTATTCCCTGCAGCCAAAAACAAAAACATAATCCAAGACTTTTCAAATAGTCATTACATTATCTATCATTTGTATTTTTTAATGTGTAAAAGTTCTGTATGCTTGTTATGTTTAAAGCATAACTGTGTTAACTTTCAAGTTGGACAATGTTTACAACAACTATTTATTATATATATATTTTTGCCAAATCATCTTCAATTAGACATATGGTTTTATTGGAAACAGAAATGTAACTCATGGCTTCAAATACAACTGCTATATATCTGCTCAAATGTTTTATTTGATGTATGTAACAAGAGGCTGTAGAGCAATACATATATCTTGACCACCTATTTCAGCAGACACGAATACATCAGAATAAGGAAGTATAATATTATCAAAATGCTGTTTCACTGTGACGGAAACAACAATACAGACACTTCTGTGTTCTATGCTTTTAGATGATGCCTTCAGTGATGCCTACACTGAGCAGATACACAGGAAATATTGGTGAGTATTTTTTCCAGAGTAATTACTATTTTGCTCTGAAATAGTGATATTTAATCATTTTGGAGTGTATTTATTACTCATAGCTTCTAGAGTGCGATCAAAAATGCAGAGTCAATTCTATTGGAGTTAAACCATGACCACTCTGTAACGGAGGTGATCTCCGGGGCCATAGATCTCGGTCTCCGTTACGGATTATATAGCTTCATTATTGGCGAAGTATATTAATTTGTTCCACGCTAAAACATTGCACAGGAAGCATGTGATTGTCATTTATGCATATATTTGTCACAATCTGTCTATGTTTTAGTTTGTCTGTCTCTGTTTCCTGTTGTAGTTTGAAAAGTGTTCCCCCTCCCGTCTTGTCTGTTGCTGGTGATTGTGTTCACCTGGTGCCCTGTGTTTCTCCTCCCTCCTCACCTGTGTCTTGTTGGTTTGATTAGTCCTGTGTGTATTTAGGTTCTGTTTTCCTGTTAGTGTGTGTGTGTGAGGTTCTGGTGACTGGTGACTGTGTTCACGTGAGACAGTCATATTGAGGCTGTGTATCCTGTACCACAAAGAGGAATAAATGCCCACACCGGGTTGTATTTGAACTCTCTGCCTCTGCCTCCTTGCTTGGTCGGGCCGCTCAATGGCCAGCTTCACACACACTCATGTTCCTTAAGCACTTTGGTTTATTGACCTTTTTTATTGTAAAGATCATTATGGTTCATTTATTCTATTCTGAGTAAAATTACCTTCTATTTGGAGTAAAATGGCAGTAGAGTTGTTTTTAATATACACTACATAGAGTAAATAACCATTAAGCAGAGTCAAATCTAAGCACATAATAGAGTAAAATGAACTCTAAAAATACAACTCTGAACAAAGAGTACATTTTACTCTATATAGGTTGGGACCAAATGTTATATTTTTAGAGTAAAATTTTCTTCAATTTGAGTCAATTTTACTCAGAGAAATTTACTGTGTAGGATCTAAGAGTTTTGCTCAATGACACTTCGGCAGGGCACATGGAAGCTGGCGGACACGCTGTCTGCTTCTCTGTAAGTCTCTGTGAATCAGAAACCCTTCGGCAGGTGTTTTTCACACCTGACTGTGTCTCGCTTCTGTCTCTTTACTTTTCCACTGCACAGTCCTTATCAGCTGGGTTGCATAACCTAAACTCATAGATTCTGGGCAGGGGATAGATGTCGGATAAGTGAGTAATGTCAAATAACTTTTAACATCTGAAAGTGTGCGATAATTATTTTGTGATACAGACATAAGAAGGTATTCATGGAAGAAATTAAATGGATTTCAGTGTCTTTTAAAAGTGTTATCTGGTGTCCATTGGTGAATGTCAAAACATTGAGGCTTACTTTACCTACAAAAATATTACTTTTTAAGCAGTAGAAGGCAAAATCTGGCATGTTTTTATCAGTTATCGTTATTTTGATGAAGCTTTTCAGTTTATTCATCACATATTTGGTTGAATATCTCATTTTTTAAATGAAACCATGCATGTGAATGCACCAGATGTGAATTATAGCACTCTGACATCAAGTTGTCTCATATCTGAACGTGTTTTACTGCTAAAACGTGCAGTACACAGGACATGTAGCCCAACAGCTGGTTTAAATTCTGCTCTTTAGAAACTGCTTGTTGATTTCAGTGTTGCGTCCACAGTAACAAAGAGGAAGCTGAAACACACAGCTGCTGCTTCCTTTTGAGCAATGAGACTCATCTTGAGCTGAAAACTGAATTTAGACAAGCATAGACGACGACTCTTTCATTGTATTGTTTCCATGGGTGTGTCCAAGAAACTGTGGTTATTCACACAATAAGAACAGATAAGAGTTACAAGCTTTGAGATAAGCCACATTGTCAAGGTCATGTTGTTCCGAAAAAACACACTACAAATAATCCTTAAACCATGAACTATATTTAGCAAAATGATCTAGTATTTATGAAGACATTTCTATATGAAAAAATAGAAAAAAATAAAGGAAACCATTACATCTGTGATAACATACAATGCAAAAAATAATGTTTGGTGCTGTGAGATAAAGTTTTATTTAAAGCAAATGTACATGATAATGATATTGTTTTATCGTGTGCTGCAACACTAAGTCGATAAATGGATTTATTTATTAAAAATAATAGCAAACAACTTTAAAAAAAAAAGTATATATATAGGCCTATTCTAGTTGAAGTTTTGAACAATAACCTTGATGTGTAATTGTTTGATTTTTACATTTTATATTACATTTTAAACAACTCTTAAACAAATAACTCAATAAGGGGACACAACAGATAGAAGCTTCTCTTTGTCGTAGTAAACTGAACTCAAGTCCAGATAAGTTACAACTTGCATGGTGTAACTTTTGCTCTGGTTTCTCCAGGCTGACGTGGGAAAGGCTCCAGCCGCTGCCACACCTCCATCACCTTAAGCAAGGTTGTGGTTTTGGACACGTAACCCGACACATTCAGACATAAAAGCCTCGATCGGACCCCGCCAAGTCTAGACTGTCAGTCAAGATGAGGGGGCTGCTCGCACTTACCGTGCTGTTCGTGGCCGTTATCGGCAAGGAGACTTTTGAGGGGTAAGTAACACCCAGAGGTGAAATAACTCGGATTTTATACTCAAAAAGCAAAAGTAGCAATACTAGATTGTAAAAATACTGTCTTACAAGTAAAAGTCCTGCATTCAAAATCTTATTTTACTAAAAGTATCAGCATCAAAATATACTTAGGTACCACAAGTAAAAGTACTCGTTATGCAGAATGGCCCATTACAGAATAATATATATGAAATGACCTGATTTTGATAATGTTCATCCCAGCTGGTAAAAGAAGAGCTTATTTTACTTTGTATACTGCTGCTGGATATATTAACCTATAATATAATGTTTAATTATTAGATGATTTGTATTTATTTTAATCTGAATCTGTCAGATAAATGTGATGGATTAAAAATTACAATATTGGCTTCCAACATCTAGTGGAGTAGAAGTTTAAAGTGGCTTACAATACAAATACTCTGTTAAAGTACCTCAAAATAGTACTTAATACTTTAAATGTACCTTATTACATTCCTCCACTGCTACTACCATCCTCTCACTGAGTTGCAGGCTGTAAGAGATCTTTAGATTTGTGCAGAAATGTGAAATAATCAATATGTTCTGACATTATAACAATCGCTTTTATTTTATTTTTTAAATGTCTACAAGACCAGTGCATGCTTGGTGGGCTTTTTGAGACATGTAATGTAATATTGGGAAATGCGATTTCCCCCTACAGTATATGTGCCAACTTCTAGCTGATTGTGAAGTTCTCTTGAGTCAACAGATGTAAAACATTCTGCTTCTCTTTCTGCAGGCATCAGGTTCTTCGTATGTATGCACAGAATGAAGACCAGCTGGCTCTTATCAACAACCTGGAGGACATCCACGAGTTTGAGGTCATTCATCATGCTCTGATAATTACTTCTAAATAAAATAGTTTGTAAATAATGAAAGTCCAAAGCTTCATTAACCCTAACCCTCATCCAATTCCAACTCAGAATTTAAGCTTCTTCCTTCGGGCCTGAGGTTAGTTGTCCCAAAGAGTAGAACGAAGCGGTATAAAAACAGTTTTATCAGCAGCTATTGCACAAATTAACAAATCATTGGAGCGTCACACAGATGCCTATTTATTTAATTATGAATTTGTCCGTGTCCGTGAATGTCCATGTTTGTAATAGTGCTTTTCTTTTGAATTGTTTTTAAATATTTTTGAGATTTGATGGAGCAGGGTGTACAGCAGTTTTCTTAGTTCTTTTATTAGGGATGTGTCTGTTGTCTGTGTTTGTCTTTAGAGTGTGTCAGGATGGATCCCTTGTCTTTTTATCTGTAAACTAAATCTACTTACGGGTACAAATAAAGAGCTTGAACCTGAACCCTGACCCTAAAATGTTATGTGCTATCTATGTTTCTTTTTAGGTGGATTTCTGGAGGGGAGTGACAGATGTTAGAACCCCTGTGGATGTTAGAGTTCCCTCCCACACCCTGCAGTCCGTCAAAATTCACCTGGAGAGTAACGCCATCGATTACTCCATCATGATCGGAGACCTTCAGGTAAGAGGCCTGCAAAACAGCTTATCAATCCAGGCTTCATCAAAAGTCAAAGTCAAAGTGAACATGAACAGAATTGAATCTACTGCATTTGGTTTTTGAGTTTTTAAGAAGTTTGAAGCAGATTTTTCGGCCAAAGTTCAGTCGGACAGAAAAATATATTATGTTAAAATTAATGTTATATGTTTTTCTGCAGGCGATGCTGGATGAGGAGCAGACGGAGATGGTCTCTGCTGCTCGTGTTCGTGAGCCCAAAAACGCTGACAGCTACGACTATGCCAGGTACCACCCCATCAACGAGGTAAGTGCACCAACTCTAATGTTTAAAAATAAAATGTAATCAGGATTGAATTTGCTGATACTCATAGCTATCACTTTAAACTTGAAGAAGAAGCTCAGTGTGTGGTAAATGTCCCAGTCGGACCCAAATTAAAACACATCATCTGCAAAGAATAGAGGAGCAATTCTGAAATCCCCAAGAAGAAAACACATCTTCCCTGCGATGGACGTTTAGATGTTATCCTCATGCAGAAAATCTATACCAAATGACAATCGAAATGCAGTCATCAACCAAAGTACCAAGTTCTCATTCTGGTTATAAAAGGACCAGATGGCTTGTAGAAAGTGATCATCCACATCAGAAGAGCACTTCCAACTATATAATTAAGCTGCAACCCAAAATAACCCTAATCCATGTCAACAACTTGTTATTACAACCCTAACCCTAAATATCCTGATTGTGTATTTGTTGTAGATCTACAGTTTCCAGGACATGCTGGTGGCTGAGAATCCCAAATTGGTCAGCAAGATTGTGATCGGCAAGAGCTACGAGGGTCGTCCCCTGAATGTGCTCAAGGTAAATATAACAAACTGGATCATTTTCAGCAAAGAAGACTCTTTTTCATATGCTGAACAAACACATATATGATCACAACTCAAACATAACATTACTCTTAATGAAGGACAGAAGATCATTTGAGAACTTTCATTAGGAAATTAAGATTGTTTCTTTTTACTAGACATTGTGGAAACTTTCTATATAAAGGTCCCCAATTATACTGTTTTTCATCAATATATTATAGGTCTCAGATATATACAAAACATGTCTCTGAAGTGTTTGGCTCCAAACACCACACAGATCATTGCAGCATCCCATAATCCCCTCTGTTTCAGCCCTGTTTCCAAAGTGCTGATTCTGTGTCTGTTACTTTAGATGAAAATAAGGAGCCACTCCCCACGCCCCTCTGAGAGATATTTGGTTAAAAAGAACACAATAGCCACTTTCACACCTACTTTGCCGTACTTAGTGCCCAGCACTTAGTGCCCAGCACTTAGTGCCCCCATGGAACTAAGTACAGATCGCGTTCACACCGGAATAAGTTCCCTGAGGGAAGATTACGCAAATGAAGCCGCTGACGTCACTTCTTCTTCTTCTGCTTTGGGTTTACTGGCAGGCCGCAAACCACTTCACGGCGTATACGGCCACCCGAAGTCCCCGGCCGGAAGTCCCCGGAGTTGGGGAAGGCTTCAGTAGAAGCTGCTGGGACTCCCAGCAGCTTCTACTGAAGCCTTCCGAGTAAATCGCCAGAACGCCGACACCTCCTCATCACTCCACCGCTCCCATGTTTTTTTTTGTGTTGCCATAAGTTAGTCTCTCTCCGTTGGTGCGCGGGGCTAATGCTAATGCTAATAATGCTAATGCCAGCAAATACAATGGCGGCTTCACAAAACTTTTCAGAGTTTTACGGGGCGTGGTTTGCAATTCGCCCAGCCAATCAGAAATTGGTACTTTTTTCTCCCCAGGATAGTACCACCTCTCTAGCAGGGACTACAAATGGGGGTAAAAGTTCTCTGAACTAAGTTCTCTTTTTGGTGTGAACGCAAAATTCTAGGTACTAAACGGGAAAAGTATGGGTAAAAGTACTCCGGTGTGAAAGCGCCTATTGGTGCTCTAGGAGGAGATTCAGGTGATAAGGTTGGGGGGGGGGGGGGTACCTTGGTTGCTGATTGGCTAATGGTTACACAAGCCAAAACATCGTTATGACATCGTAAAGTGGCCAAAATCTGATCAGCTCATTTTCAGACAGGTTTTTATAGAAATGGATCAGGACAAAAAGTGAGAGAATCTTTTTTCCTGAAACTTTCAGAGTCTCTTTACACAGAGGGGACACATGTTGATGTAGAAGAGACATGAAGAAGTGGATTTTGCATACTAGGTGACCTTTAATATAAAAATATATATAACAATAATTGAAAGTATGTTCACTCATTATGTGTTTGTTTGACTGCTCCTCCTTCTCGTGTCTTAGTTCAGCACCGGAGGAACCAACCGTCCCGCCATCTGGATCGACACTGGAATCCACGCCAGAGAGTGGGTCACTCAGGCCAGCGGCACCTGGTTCGCCAAAAAGGTGATTTAAAAATGTCCACATTGCTTTTAGTCTATCTTCAGCTGATGACCACAAACCGGCTGCTCACTGAACAACGTATTCTCTACCTTTCTGTGAGTAGATTGTTGATGATTACGGACGTGACACCGCTCTCACCGCCATCCTCAACAAGATGGACATCTTCCTGGAAATCGTGACCAACCCCGATGGCTACTACTTCACCCACACCAGCGTGAGTCTCACAAAGCTAGAATATGTTACTCACTCATATTCAACTGCCATAACATGTATTTTTGGTACTTCTAAAAAGGCTTATGCAGCGTTTCTGATCCAAAGACAATTAAGAGAGCTTTCACATGAATTTGAGCATGGCACAAGTTTCCCAAACATTTTCAAAGACATGAATGCAGAGACTTGTTCTTCTCACACTGCACTGTAACTTTAATCCATGTACCTTTTGTTATTCATGTTTTATTATCTTTGCTTTTAAATGAGTGTTTTTAAATGCCATTCTATAATATATTTCTGCTGCACTTTTTCTTAATGCTCTTAATGTCTTTCATTTTTGTAAAGCACTTTGAATTGCCTTGCCTTGCCTTGCCTTCTTAGTTCCACACAAACTGTGGGATTTAAGACATTGATAAGTTCAGGTTGCAATATAAATTCTAGTCAGTAAAGACAGTAACGGGTCGTGTAAATCAGTTTAAGCTGACAGTGTCCGTCTCAAAGAAAGATGAATGCATGAAAAGTTACAACAACAGAAAAAAAGTAAGAAATAAACCAAAGTTAAAAAGTGACATATTGTGATGACCTATTCTGATGTTTCCAGAACCGTATGTGGCGTAAGACCAGGAAGCCCAACCCCGGCTCCAGCTGCATTGGAGTCGATCCCAACAGGAACTGGGATGCTGGTTTCGGAGGTAACTTGTCTCTCACTTAAAGCTCAACTAGCTGTAATAATGTTTTTTTCATCAAATTATAAATTATACTGATTTTATCATCCATCATTTTAGCGATTTGCATTGAAATCGCCAATGTAATGCTCAATACTACCACCAGATGCTGCCAAAAAAACAAATATGACATTGCGGTAAAGATTTACAGGATGATCTTTTTAGAGTGACTCCTGGACAACATGGTGGCACAATTACACAGAGGTGCCAACAATGGCCTTCCAACATGCATAGCACACTCATTAAATAACATTAAATAACACATTAAGGTGGTTCAGTTATAGTAGAGTCACTACATTACAAGTTTAACCTTTTGGTACTTAACGGATGTCCCATGAATATTAATATCTAATGAGTCAAGGGCTAGCAAAGTATTCATAGCTCATGGGAAGAGGTGGGAAGTAGTGGAGTACAAATACTTCGTTACTGTACTTATTTTTCTGATGACTTTTTACTTTTACTTCTTACATTTTTAACACAAATACCTGAACTTTCTACTTCTTACATTTTGAACTCAAATACCTGTACTTTCTACTTCTCACATTTTCCAAACAGGCTGGTTCCTTTAGTTTGAATGTGTGTTTGGTGGCGTGATCATTATTATTTAGAGTCATTGCGTGCCTATTGATTTGAACACGATCCGTGTATCCATCATTTCCTGGTCTTCTCTAAAGAAGAGGGACCAATGAAAACGTTGTCATGTTGCCGTTGTTCAGCATGGAAACATTCATTAGCTAACAATGACATTATTGTTCTATTAATATAAAGGGAGGTCAGGTACTCTTTAAAACAGATGGTAGTTATGGGTACTTTTTACTTAAGTACATTTCAAAGCCCTCTTTACTTTTGCTTGAGTAAAGAACTTTAGTCAGTACTTCTACTTTTACCAGAGTATTTTTAAACACAAGTATCTGGACTTTTACTTGTGTAAAGGATGTGTGTACTTTTGCCATCTCTGCTCATGGGATCAATTTTTTCTGTAGTTTCTCTGACTCAGTTTTCTTCTCTGTGTAGAAGCTGGTGCCAGCGATAAACCCTGCGCAGAGACCTACCGTGGACCCAAAGCTAACTCTGAGTCTGAGGTCAAGTCCATTGTGGACTTTGTGAAGTCCCACGGTAACATCAAGGCCTTCGTCTCAATCCACGCCTACTCCCAGATGCTCCTGTACCCCTACGGCTACATGAAGACTCCATGCAAGGACGACACCGAGCTGGTAAAGATCCCTCTCCTTCTCTTACTTCTTTACCCAGAACTCTTTAGATAGATAGATAGATAGATAGATAGATAGATAGATAGATAGATAGATAGATAGATAGATAGGTAGATAGGTAGATAGATAGATAGATAGATAGATAGATAGATAGATTCCTTTATTGTCACTACACAGAGTACACCGAAATTCCAAACATTCCCGATGGTGCAATCACACATAACAGACAGTATAAGTATAATTTTATAATACAAGCTAAAAACGTTTAATATATAATATATAAAGTGACTATAAATTGGACCTATGATACATTGAACAGTACGCTTACAAACAAAATACAACATTACCATACAAATACAAGAACAATACGGTCAAGGCAGTACAAAATGTAAGCAAGTCAGTAAGTTATTGCACATGTATTGTATCAGTGCAGTTGATAATTACAAAACTAGAAATTAATATGTGTTCTATAAAAACGGTATGAGGTAGAATATATGGTGCAGTTGGATGTAAACATGTACTTAGTTGAGCATAAGTTCAGTTCAGTTCCATCAGTGCTGTGATTGTCTGGCTTTGTCCAGCTCACGTTTAGTAAATCTCTATCCTTGGCTCATCTGTAGCTTCGCCTGTAACGTTTAAATGCAAGAACATGCATAAGCAATATGAGAAACTATGAATACTGTAGATGATCAATATGTGATGGTAGTAATCTCTTCCCACAGCACTCACTGGCTAAGAAGGCTATCACCGACCTGGCCTCCCTGTACGGTACTAGCTACAGATACGGCAGCATCATCAAGACCATCTGTAAGTCAGTCTTTAAATATTAAATTCTACATGTTGTTATTGTGACTGTGGCTGCGATGCAGTGCGGTCGTCTTTCAACCAGAAGGTTGTGGGTTCGATTCCAGCCCATGTCGATGCATCCTTGGGCAAGACACTGAACCCTGAGTTGCTCCCGATGGCCAACGGTGTTTGAATGTTAGCTTCCTAGAGCAAGTGGCACTGCCCTATGAGGTGGGAAAGAGTGAACGATGACATTAAGCCGGGACCTGGCTCGAAACACTCGGAACACTGTTGTTGTTGTTGTTGGCGAAACACATCAGCAATGATACGTATTTTATGACATAGAACAAAAACGTGTAAATCTTTTCAGCTTGTATGTCAGATCTTAATAGAGAACCGCAGTGACGCGTCCTAAAACCCGGAAGTAAACTCCTTCCGGTTCCTTCGACAAAAACGCAATGCAATTTCTCCATAGGATTTGGGAAAATAGCTGGAAATAAGGTCTGTGGTTGGCACACATTTAAGAGACGGATCACGTTTTGTTCAGCCGGATAATATCCACATGTCTACCCACTAATTTTCTAATCTTAAATCTAGTCGCCAGAAGCAAAATGCTAACGTTATGCTATAAACGAATACAGCAGGGTCGCTGCTTCAACGTCACGCCAACTTAAGATCCATATTCAAACATACAGACTCTAAATGGTACGAGTTGAAGCGTTTGTTTGAACAGTTTGCAGGAGGCAGGTACTTGCTTTCAAGCAGAACAGGGCAAACAAACTTAGCGGGAGTGTTTTACGTGTTCGGCGTAATGACGTAAAACGGCCTGGACAACTTCTGTAGTCCTATTCAGCCACTTGTTAACAACCATCGTTTTTCAGACACGTAAACTCTTCAAAAATCACCAGCGGGGTCACTGCTGATGTATTTAATGTCGTAGAACAAAACGTGATCTGTCTCTTCAATTTGTGTCAAACACAGACCTTATTTCCAGCTATTTTCCAAAACCCTATGGAGAAATTGCATTGCTTTTTGTCGAAGGAACCGGACGTGGTAAAAATGCTAACTTACTTCCGGGTTTTAGGACGCGTCACTGCGGTTCTCTATTGAGCCATCTATACAAAACCAGTTCAAAAAACCATTGACTTCGAGACAATGGGACCAGAAATGCTAACTCATTGTCAGGTTTTAGGACTCCAGCACCACTCTGGTAGTTCTGTTGAGAAAGACATTTTGTACAAAAACAAATTAGATGTTGATAGTTATACATCTTTACTGTACTGTATATAACAACACCGTGATGATACCTGCTTCTTTTGTAGACCAAGCTAGCGGTGGCACCATCGACTGGACCTACAACCAGGGCATCAAGTACTCCTACACCTTCGAGCTGAGGGACACCGGTCGCTACGGTTTCATCCTGCCAGCCAATCAGATCATCCCTACCGCCACTGAGACCTGGCTGGCTCTGATGACCATCATGGACCACACCTACAAGAACCCCTACTAAAGTGTGTGTGTGTGTGATTCTGTGTGTGTACAAGTGGAACTCCCCAAGTTCCCGAGAATAAAGTTGGCAAATGTCACCTTTAAAATGTCATCTTGAAGACTAATATCACCATCATCATGAGTCTTTAGACAAATTAAAGTCACAAACAAACGAATAAATGAGCACACTTAAAAACTGCAGTTTCTATTTCTTTTTTATTTAAAGCTAATGGGTTGAATACATGTTTACGCACATATTTGTCTGCATTATGTAATTGTTAAGACTATCATGATCCAAATATATATTTCTTTCTCATTTTGTTCCTTGTGTACTTCCTGTGCCAATCATAACAAAAGCTAAGAGGCCTAAAACTGTAATTATATTAAAGTTTCGGTAATTGGGCTCATTCAAAGGTTAATACATTTTATTTACATATTTTTGTTTTAAATCATATGTGAACTGCACAAATGGATAGTTACAGATTCATATTGTTATCTAGGGAATAAGATAAGTCTCCCTTTTAACATTAGACATAATTAAACATTATTGAACAAAATAAATCATACTCCCTTTAGCTTTGTTGTCTTCTCAACATTACAGAACCTTCTTCAGGGTATATGGAGGAATCCTGAAGTCAGATGTAATACCTTTTAAGACCTTTTTTAAGACCCTTTCCATACATTTTAAGACCTCATCGCCACTTGGAGTTTTAACCGGTTACCATGGCGACACACTTTACCTCACATTGACTATATACAGTATTGATTGTCCTTCCTCCTTATCTTCCAACTATTTGGACGCAAACTTGCATTTCCCCATAACGATGTTGTTTAACAACCGGCGTAAACGGACCTTCGCGCGCTATCAAGCAGTGAGCGCGCGATGTCCTGTTCAGATGACGTCAAATCCAACGGGATGCCATAAATAAACTACACAGAATCACACTACACACCTACGCAATGATTACATCCAGGCACACTGTAGACCAGTGGTTCTCAACTGGTCAGGCCTCGGGACCCACTTTTTACTTGGTCAATACATCGCGACCCAACATTTTGAAGCACTCAAATCTATTCAACAAAAAATCGTGCTGTAATATACGCTTTTCAGAATACAATATTAATAAAAGTGAAGTACAGTGCATATATCCCTTATATCCCTTCACAGAACTAAAGTATGCTTTTAAAAAAGGTTCAATGAGATGATGGAATCAAAGCTGAACTATATAAAAAGGCACACATGCTGAAAACCCAATCCCAGCAGGGGGGTCTGGGGGGATTCTCCCCCAGGAGATTTTTTGAAATACTAACATAAACTACGCATTCTGGTACAGTCTGAGAAGAAAATAAATAAATCATACATATTAATAATATTTTATGCCATTGTTTGTTTTTCACTTAGTTCTGACAGCTTGCTGAGAGAAGAGTAAAGAGGAGATTGAATTGTGGGTAAGGGTAGATAGCTCCCATTGTTCTGTGACCTGTCAATCATCAAACCGGGGGTCATATTTCATTATGTGTTCATTTTTATCTGAAGTTGTACCCATGGATGTATAAAGAATAGTTCTACCGCAAAGTTATTCTCCGTGGGGACTTCCGGCAACAATCTTGATTCTGATTGGCCAGAAGACTCGAAAAAACATCAGCAGAGATGTTTTATTGAGAAGATGATCACTACGTGACAGAAGTTTTCAAACCCGTTTATGGTCTCCGGTACTTCCAGTCCAACGCCTACTGCATGCACTGCGTTAGAAAATCGGTTCTTCAAAATAAAAGTTTGCCTTTTTTCCCAAAAAAAAAAAAAAAAAAATTCAAATTTTTTTTTCACCTTTTTTTTTCTTCACTCACACATCCGCGACCCACTTGAAACGGGTCCGCGACCCACTTTTGGGTCGCGACCCACCAGTTGAGAACCACTGCTGTAGAATACAACCTCTTTGGACAATTTATATACTTATTGAAAACAAGCTACAAAATGTAATACCTTGGAAAATGCCATTTAATATTTTTTAATACTCTTTAATAGCCTTAATTTTCGCTAAATTGATTTATCAACTTTTAATACTTTTTAAGACCCCGTGGACACCCTGTTCTTATTGACACAAGAAAACAATACCGATACAGCAAACAATGATACACTTTATTTGACATTCATTTACAAATAAAATCAAGTGTCAAGATTGTTAATGTGAGTTAAGACTGCCTGAAATCACAAAAAAGGGCTGCAGGGTAGTACATATGTTTCATTAAATGCACTGAACAAGAGATTGCGTGAGTGTATTCGGAGTAGAACGGCAAAAACAAAATGCAATAAGTCACCACCATGCCAACAAAACAAAAGGCCACAAATTAGCAATCAAAACTGTTTCTCAAATACATCTGTGGGCAGTGAGGTTTCCTCCCTTCAATGTCACAGCAATGTTGTTATGACAGTTTGTGTGCTAACCAGTCAGTGTGATCACAACTCACATTATTGTCTTCACACACACAAAGGCAACCAGTCACGTAACAGCATTAGCGGATGAAAAAGGCTACTTGAGAAAATTACAAAAATACAGCACATCTTTACTTCATTTTACAAAATGGATCGAGCTCTGTGACATCATTTATATAAATTACATCTCATGTCAAACACAGATTTTTAAGCACATCCTTAGTTTCATATCATAACATTCAAGGATTCTCCAGCAATAAACGTGACATTTATCTAGCGGCTGAAGTTCAACGTGACCTTTTTTTTTTAGACGTAAAGATGTCAAAAGAAGGAGAACATAACAGATTATCCACAGAGTTAAGTTATTATCTGAACAGGTGGTTGTTTAAAATGAGAGCAGTGTTACATGAACAATAGATTAGAGTGCAAAAAAGCTCCGTCAGGCTTTAGGTTCACAGATGAGAAACTGTGCAAACATTCAAAAACACGCCATTTATTAAATATTATAAGAAACATAAAACGTGGAAAATACTTCAGTCTGATGTAAATCGGTGCAGCTGATGAGTCTGAAACTAAATTATGCAGATTATTTGTGTATGTCTTGATTAGAGTTTTAAATATTTTGGTCTCTACTTCAGTGTAGTGTTAACTCCTCTCCCAAAAGGTGTGTAATGGTTAAAATCATTTATCGTAGAGATGTGTTTCTATACAGTTCTATAGCTCGAAACATGAAATAAATGGACTCTTAGTCAGAGGTATGTTTGTTCATGTGTTTCTGTGTGGATGAGGGTGTTATTTCCAGGGTCTGCTGCTCTGAGCCCTGCTGCTGTCCCTCCCTGCTACGGAGGAGGAGGAACTCTGTCGGCTGCGAGCGCTCGACGCTTTGGTGAGAGAGCTGCCGGACGACACGCGGCTCGACATCCGGCCTGCAGTGAAACACACAGGGAAACACACAGGGAGACACACAGGGAGACACACAGGGAGACACACAGGGAGACACACAGGGAGACACACAGGGAAACACACAGGGAGACACACAGGGAGACACACAGGGAGACACACAGGGAGACACACAGGGAGACACACAGGGAGACACAGGGAAACACACAGGGAGACACACAGGGAAACACACAGGGAGACATACAGGGAAGCACACAGGGAGACACACAGGGAAACACACAGGGAGACACACAGGGAGACACACAGGGAGACACACAGGGAGACACACAGGGAGACACACAGGGAGACACACAGGGACACACACAGGGAAACACACAGGGAGACACACAGGGAGACACACAGGGAGACACACAGGGAGACACACAGGGAGACACACAGGGAGACACAAGGACCAAGATGATATTGAAGTTCCAGTAACTTGGTGCAAATTACAGGGAACATGTGTTTATTTGATACACTTGAAATCAATAGAGAACAATTAATTTGGAAAAACTGTTTCGAAACAGTTGCTCCATTAAAAGAAAATGGAAAACAAATATTTATACAATACATAAGACGTTAAAGTTGAAGAATGGGCAATATGGAGCTATAATAAAAATAAAAATAAATACATAGCTTACAATAACACAAGAATGATAACTTTACTCAAGAGGGGTTTTGTTTTTCAGGAAATTCGTCTGGTATAAATAAATCAAACCTAACAGATAGCATGTTTTTTTTGCATTACTTTGGCTCTATTTTACACATATGTAGTACCGAGTTCTCTCCAGGGAAACGCCTGATCAAAGCTGTGATGAAGTGTCGTTTCTGAGTGTGTTCTTACTGTTGGAGTTGCTGGGCACGAGGTTCTCCTCCAGCTGATCCTGGATCTTGCTCAGATCGTCAGAAGCAAACCTCCAGCTCTTCTCCGCGGCCTGAAGAGGAGGCTTCGGCACGGAGCTCTTCTTCCCCTTCGAGGGCGAGGGGGAGGAGAGGCAGGAGGTCGGGAGGGAGCCCGTCGTCAAACCTTCTGGAAACTTCTGAGCGATTACCTTAAGACCTGAGAGAGGACAGCAGAGTTAAAGGTGGGAGGCGTGTGGCGCAGTGGACTAGTGCGTTGGTGTTGGGATCAGGGGAGCACAGGTTCAAACCCCACTGCAGTCAGCATGTCGTTGTGTCCCTGAGACACTTCACCCCAAATTGCTCCTGTGGGGATTGTCCACAGTATTGAGTATGTAAGTCGCTTTGGATAAAAGCATCTAACAAGTAACATGTAATGTAATGTAAACATCTAATGTGACCTATCATGCAAAATGCACTTTTTGATGTCTTATGTATGTCTTTTATACATAAATATGTGTCCCCGGTGTGTCAGGGAACTCACGCAGCGTCAGAAAATAAAACCCTCTCTCTTTTCCTCCGTACCCACATCTCTGAAAACGGGGAACAACGGAGCTGATCCAGATTTGCGTCTGATATGACGTAATATCGGAACTGTGTCCCATGGCTTTTATATTTTTTTTATATATCTGAGACCCATAATATATGCCTAAAAATAGCATGATAGGAAACCTTTAATACTAACTTTTTTTAATGTAATATATATATATATATATATTATGTTAGTTTGCCATCAGAATCAGGTTTATTAGTAGGTTTTCACATACAACGTGTTTGCCTTTGTGTTAGGGCTGTGCGATTATGGCAAAAATCATAATCACGATTATTTTGGTCAATAATTGATATCACGATTATTAAAAACGATTATTCATTTACTTTGAAAACATCCATTTATTGAAAACAATTTTTTGAACAATATGTTAACAGTTTTTTTATTTTTTATTAATAAAAAAAAAAAAATAAAAAAAAATAATAATAATTGTTTTATTTCGATTACGTTGTTTTCGTAATCGTTGCAAGCCAAAATCGTAATCGAGATTAAAATACGATTAATTGCACAGCCCTACTGTGTGTATGATGTTGCATACATACACACAGTAAGACAAATAAGGTTAATAATTAGTAGGAGCGACTAAAGAAGTACTTTTATGATTACAAGAAATATAAATATACAAAAATGGAAATACAATAAAAGAGGAATTAAAGGAATCATTTCCCTAATCCACGAATGTTAGCTCTTGCTCCACTCACAGCTACCAGCATAACGCGGAGATATATATGTGACATGAGACGATATCTTTATTAAGGATAACATTAATGTTAAAGGGAAGCAGACTCGACACCTTACCTCCAGACAACATGTACAGATTCTCAAATCCTCGCTCACACATCATGGTGGCCGCCTGGCTCGCTATCCTCTCATCTTCATCGTACACGATGATGATCTTCCCCGATGCGTTTTTCTACAGCTCGTGGGTTAAGAGCATACTGTGATCTTTTTTAAAACAGGACATTGACTTTGCTGCAATGATAGTGGAGTTTGTATCGAATCAGAATCAAAATACTTAATTTATATTTAAGGGTTATTGGGTTACATGTCAGTTGCTCCACTTTTGATAACAAATCTGTACATTGTATTACAATATACTGTATATTACACTTCATAAAGTAGTGTATTAATAATAATGAAGATGTATTGAAGGATACGTATTCCAGCACGTCTTTGGTGTAGGGGTTCATGGTACGTGAGAGCAGAGCGATGGGGAAACTGTGTGCTGCAGGAGAGAGACACGGTTAGTAAATACAGATATTATTGTATATAAAGCTTCAGGTTCCTGCCCCTCACAGCTGATGATGTGGCAGCGGTCGTAGTGGTCCCGGTCCCGGACGTCCAGCAGCAGGTAGGGGCAGTCGGGGTACGGCCTGTCAGTGAGATCAGGGCTGAACACACACTCATTCTCCGTCTGCTGATTGGTCCTGTCCACGTTCAGCTCCCCCACCCCACTGATAACACTGAAACAAACAGGAAGATATATTAAAGATGCAACACCTGCGCCAAATAAAAACTCACCTGTTCAGACTAAACTAATCAGTGTAGCTACCGTTAAACTTGACTGTCTTTGTATCCCTCTGATTTGTCTTCTAGATAGATAGGTAGATAGATAGGTAGATAGATAGATAGGTAGATAGATAGGTAGATAGATAGGTAGATAGATAGATAGGTAGATAGGTAGATAGATAGATAGGTATATAGGTAGATAGGTAGATAGATAGATAGATAGATAGATGGATAGGTAGATAGGTAGATAGGTAGATAGGTAGATAGGTAGATAGGTAGATAGGTAGGTAGGTAGGTAGGTAGGTAGGTAGGTAGGTAGGTAGGTAGATAGGTAGATAGGTAGATAGGTAGATAGGTAGATAGGTAGATAGGTAGATAGGTAGATAGGTAGATAGGTAGATAGGTAGATAGGTAGATAGGTAGATAGGTAGATAGGTAGATAGGTAGATAGGTAGATAGGTAGATAGGTAGATAGGTAGATAGGTAGATCGGTAGATCGGTAGATCGGTAGATCGGTAGATCGGTAGATCGGTAGATCGGCAGATAGATAGGCAGATAGATATGTAAATAATGCACAAAAGGGGCAACTAACAGTTAGAGTAAATTAATATAAAAAGATGTGTTACAATTATTGTTTATGAAGTAAGAGTCCCTTACCATACTTATGCAGGTGGGACAAAATAAGAAAAAGGGTCATCCATTTAATTAATCAAAGTTATTTTGGCTGATGTGAAGGGTTTCAATAGATTTAAGTTAGTTAAACTGTTGGTAAATTGAACCAAATATAGCGTTAAATATAAATAAAACCTAAATGCAGTTAAGGCCCTGACACACCAAACTGACAACAAAGAACACGTCCCGACGGACCTGATTGTTGCGTCGCCTCACGTCTCCTGCGTCTTGGCCAACAGTCGCACTGGAACACACCGCAAAGACTTCAGCCGACGGCCAAGTAGCACGTACGCACTGCGCATGCGTGAGTGGCAATAACTCTCCTTACCAGCAGGCGGCGGTAGTGTGTATTCGTCATTCAAAAGAGGCAACCGGAAGACAGACTGCATGATATATACAAACAACAAATAGCTTGCGTTCCATTTTCACTCTCGTCCATCACAGACTGTTTCACATAACGACTTATAATCGAAAACATGTTTAGTGCGGTACTGGAAAATGAAAAATAATAGCTGTCTGTGTGTGCCTTCTTCACTTCCGTTTTGCTTCTCATGCACTGATTCGCTAAGCTGAACAGCCAATCAGAGTGATTTCTTTTGCCTCAACATGTTGAATCGGGAGAGGAAGGTGTCAGCACGGCCGAAAAGACACGACGGTGCGGGACACACCAATCTGAGTAGGGCGACAGGACGCTCATCGACGGCCAGACATCTATCGAAGGCCGAAATCGGCCCGGTGTGTCCGGGCCTTTATACGTATTGTAGCTTAACAATTATTTTAAGTCTAATACAACTTAGACAACCTTATGCACTGATTAAGAAGCTGATTTACCTTCTAAGAAATCCCAATATATGACTTATATTGACACCTGTTGGCTGGCTAGACACATATTGTATTTTCCACAGTAACAGTCAGTCAGTATTGATTGTGTTTCAAGGAGGGAGGGGTTGAAGTGTCAAACCAGTTAATGTGAAACCAGAGACGAGAGGAAGAAGACTAATGTGAGTCTGGAGCCGAGCCAAACTCTGCAGAAACAGACCACTTTCCCCGTTGTGTAAGCTAACCCCAGCGCTGCCCTAATTTCTCTCTCCATCTGTCCTCCCCACCAGCTGAAGGTGACCTGAAGCTCTGCCTTTACAGAGGCACCGGCCCCCCAGAAAGCCCTCAGATAGAGTTACACTCCTGGGGTTCCTGTTCGGGCTCCAGGGGGGAAGAGGACGCAGGTGATAGGAGAGGACGCTGAGAACATATGCGTGTGTATTTTTAAAGGCAGAGCATGGCATTAATACCAGGTACAGAGGTCTTTCTAGTGAAGTAGTTCATAAGTATAAGGTATTTTGAATGTAGGTTGTCCGTCAAACTATAAGTGATATATAAGTTATATTGTTGCATCGATTCAGTTGTCTTGTGTCTTATCTGTCGGAGAGAAATATTTTTTTTTAATTTTTTTTATTATCATAATTTTTACCTCCTTGTGTCTATTTCTTTGTTTTACTTATTTTTAATCTTTTAACTTTTTAATGCCATTTTATTTCTATTTCTGAAATATTTTGCACTGTTTATTTCTGTGTTTTAATTTCTCTTAAGTACATTGCCTTGTGTTTTTTATGCTGCTGCAACGCAAACATTTCCCAAACTTGGATCAATAAAGTACTTCTCTATCTAATCTATCTACCTACCTATCTATCTACCTATCTACCTACCTACCCACCTATCTACCTACCTATCTATCTACCTATCTATCTATCTATCTACCTACCTACCCACCTACCTATCTACCTACCCACCTACCTACCTACCTATCCATCTATCCATCCATCCATCCATCCATCTATCTATCTATCTATCTACCTACCTATCTATCCATCCATCTATCTATCTACCTACCTATCTATCCATCCATCTACCTACCTATCCATCCATCCATCCATCCATCCACCCCAACCCAAAGTGCTACATAAATAAAGCTTCATTATTATTATATAGGTTGTTGTGTACAGTATGAGGTTTTCAGCAAAACTTTACATTCTTAGGAGCTGTACAGTACCTCAGCAGCGTTGACCGGGCAGAGTTACACATCTCTCTGTCTCCTGCATCCTGCCGATCGGAAAGAGGTGACGCCTGAGGAGAGCTGCCATTGGTGTGTTCAGACAAACAGTCCAAGTCTGCATCAGAGACCACGGACAGACCATCTGCAAACAGGGAGGGAGATAATGGGAGACTGAATACTGATAGATAATGTTAGTAGTTGTTTGAAAATATCACTGGTCTGGCTTGAGCTTCAATCTCAGGATCCATGTATTTCTGATCCTCTCCAGAATGGAAGTAGTCATCACATACAGAGCATCAACTAGTTCCTGAACAGTGTCCTTCACATGCTGATATCCAAGAGAGGGAGTTACACAGTCACAAGATGGAGGAATAGAAAGCAGTATTCAATGTTTACTTCAGATGAGCTCCACGTCAGAAATGAGCATGCTTGTCATATGTCTATCTCCATAGAGGCTGAATCATCATGTTAATCACATAGCTATCATATGCCTAAAACAGTCCTGATGCTCTTCTAGGTAATCATACATCCTGTCATGTACACAGCTACAGTTGGGATACCTTTGTTATCATGTTACTCTCATATTGGAAGAGTCCATTCAGTATTTTCCCAACAGTAGTCCACGTCAAGTTTTTTTGAATGTGCTATTTGGTATGAAGTTGGAGATAAATGCATTTTCCCAATGTTAAGTGAATCAGTGACTTTATTACTTACCTTCTGGGCAGTGGGATTCACCGTCAATCTCACTTTCATTCAGGTCGGATACAGAGGCTACCTGGAGTATCTGGTGTAAAAAACAAGATAGAAATCTAAGACGCTTCTGCTAGGAACGAAAACTGCAAATAGTGCAAAGAGAATGGTATCCTGGGGTCTGTGAATAAAGGTAACATGTCTGTTCAAACTCTCTACACAAGTGGTTTATCAATTATTAAGCACTGTAAATGGATCATGGTTTCTCACTGCATTCTTTATGATATCTAAAATGTAGAGGGCCACACAAATAACTGTTAAAAATAACAACAAATCAATCTTGCTGGACAGTAATGATAGGAAATAACCGTTAATACTTACCAATTGTGCAAACGTTGTCACCTTTAACCGCTTAAAGATTTCATTATTTCGATACCTGTAATCTGAGAGAAAACAGCAAAGGCTTATCTTGCTCTGAACGATCATTTGTGAGTTTTACACTTCTGCTATTCAAACCAACTGTTCACCTTTGGGAAGAATTCAAAGTATGTATAAGAAACACATACACTAATGTCTACGGGAACTGTGTAGTAGCCAGATGGACAGAGGCACTTTTCAATTCTGGCTCCTTGTGAAGTGTATTGTAGGAAGACATTGAAGCTGTTTGTATCTATAAGAAACCTATTATCAATTGAACATCTAAGTCACAGAAGTTTAACATTTAAAGACGTTGTAATAGCCTGTAATGCACCTGTGTCAAAGACAACTCATATTCAAACACCTCCTGCTGATTCAGGCTTTAGTTTTTACTCTGCTTATGAACATATTTGTTATTTTAGAAGCCGGATTTAAAAACTGACAAAACCTCCAGCGAACCCCAAAACATTTGAGATGTATGAATGCATCACAAAAAGTGAATATAGCTATGTAGAATAAAATAAAACATGGGACATATACATATGTACAATGACTTGCACAATCTAATTCCTCTTCACATGGGGTACTCACTTTTTTTCATGTCCTCCAGTCTTTCCATATACTTTGAGAGACTGTAACCTATATTAGAAAAATGACAGTTACATTCATAATAAGGCATTTGTTAATTAAGTCATAACATAATGATCTTGATAACAACATTTTAGTAAATCTGTACAAAGACAACATACCTGTGTCCAGCCTTGTTTTGACATGTTGATATTTTTCATTTTTCGGTATCCTCTTTTTCAAGTACTAGAAGGAAAAACAATGGGCTTTTGTCATCTTGATGAACAGAAATACAGACTGGATATTACTTTCTAATGGTAGTTTAGTTAACCTGAAAACATTTAAGGTTTAAAAGAGCTAATTCTGCTAACGACACAGGTGCACTGTCGTTGATATGGTAACATAACACTGACAATAGCTAACTAGTTAGCATGCTAAGATAGCTACATTTATTTCTGTTTGTCCACGCTGTGCATGTTACTATCGATAATGCAATATTAACAATAAGCGGGCAATAAAATAATCATTATTGTCATTAAACAGACGTTACCTCCACATTGCCGATGCCCTGTTTAAGCGACATCTTTTCAAAGCGAAATGCCAAACATGAATGTCGAAGTTTAACAATCTCGATGTTGATTGGTTGATGCTGTTTCATGGGCCAATCAGAGAGGCGGATACTGGGCCGCTTCCGCGTAAATGCAGTTTCATATGATATGACTGGCTAGTTGCTTAGCAGCGAAAGATGCTCCACCTTAATGACAGGATGCATTCATGAAACCAGAAAATAACCGGATCGTTCATTACAAAGTAAAAAAAAACAAGATTTTTGGCTTGTTGGAAGCACTTTTGGGTCTTTACTATTCTTCCTTCAATTGCCATTCTTCGCCAAACACTTACTTGATATTCATAATTTGTTTTGTTTTCTCTTTTTGTTAGTATGCAATGTTCACTAACTTACAATTAGCTGGGCCCATGCAATTCAATAAGGAGATCCTTAATTAATTGACTGGAAAGACAAACTTCTAATTTTGTAGTAGATAACCTTTCTTATCTGCAACTCCAGAGCTGTTGCGAATGGTGTTTTGAAGTTGTGAATGGCATTTTATTTTCGGATTGTCATAAATAAAATATTCCCCAAGTTTCATGAATGCATCATCACTTTCTTAGTTGCATGAGGATCAAGCTACAGGTGGCTACGTCTCATTAGCTGTGGAAATAGCGTGTGTTATGCGGCTCTTCATGCAAAAACAAACCTAGTTTTCATTTAAAAGTCCGGGAATTCAACATTTTTCTAAGGTTGCTGGGACTGTTGATGAGAACAGCGTATTATCTGAGCTCGACACATCGGGTCTGAAACTGTTGCTGAAGGAGCACTGTTTGACAGCCATGGATGCAACGTTACTTTACCTCTGACAGTGACAACAGTGGCTTTTTTAAGCAAATGGCTTCTGTTTTGGTAAGTTAATACTTTTGTAAATGCTAATGAGCAAACGTGTGTTTACGTGGATAACTTTCTATGGGGTTAATACTAATAGTAGCTGAGTCGGCGAGTTTGCTAGCTGCAGCTCTTCTAAGAGGATTTGCTGAGAGGGGCTTGCAAACACTCCCTGGGATCTCTCTGAAATATCAACAGCATAGTAGACTTACTTTTTGTATTAACCTTAATGTTATCAGACAACACATGCACTGTGTTGACAGCCTAGGCATGCAGTGACCCAAAGTAATTTCCTGCCCAGCCCTCCACTACTAGCAACACATTATGCATCAACCTAGACTAGAAAGTAAATACAAGTACTGTAAAGCTTAGAGGTACTCACTTGTTAGCTTTTTTCATGATATGCTACTTCAGAATCAGAGTCAGAAACAGGTTTATTGGGATATTTTTAAATCCTCTGGAGCAGAGAGAGGAGCTGTGGATTATTGTTATTGATTAATGCATCAGTGTTTCTTAGGGTCAAAAACACTAAATGTACAACTTAAAATGAAAGCGTTTAGTTTATTTAATAAAAGAGCACATGTTCAATGTAAAAAGTGACAGTAGATATAGATTAGTTGCAATGTGGTGCTATATATATATATATATATATAAACAAAAACAAATTATAATCTTTTTATTTTTTTTTATAATTATAATTTCTTTAAAACACCTTGAATTTCAGGGGGGGCGCAGATACAAATACACATAGGTCATACACAGGACACATCACCTTACCTTTAAAGGGCCCATGTCATGCTTTTCCAGTTATTCCCCGTCCCCTTGTGTGTTATGAAGGTTTTTCTGCATGTAAACGGTCTGCAGAGTCACAAACCCTCAAAGTACACCCTGTAGCGAGTAAAACTCTAACACAGAAAAGACCTGTCTATGCTGCCCCAAAACGCCTCATTGGAGATTTCTCATTTTCCATTGTTTGCTTCCTGGGTTCTGTGACGTGTGAACACCCAAATTAACAACAAATGACCGGATTGGCCCAAATGGACCAATCCGCGGAGCACCTCACACACCAGGATCCCTTGGCTAACTAACAGGGAGTCCCCATTGACTTGCATAGAGCTCCCTGAACGCTGGTAATAGACGAGTTGGGATCGCGGAGAAATGCTCTCCGCAGACCCATTCTCACAGCGTTATAAACCTTTTTCTTACTCAATATCAAGCCACACTTACGGACCGTCCACACAGCAGCGTTAAAAAAATCTTGAAACGCTTCTGCCCATTCACTTTGAATGGGGTGACGTCACTTTCCCTCACTTTTCGCCGAACTGCATTGTGGGCAGGCGAGCGGAGATTTTCAGGATTTTCAGGATTCAAAGTTGAACAATGTTCAACTTTTGAGGCTGAGGTGGAAGCGTCAGCCAATCAAATCCCGTGTACGCAAATCTGACAGTTCAAGCTCTAGCCAATCAAACGGCATGTATGCTGGGAGAGACATACCGCAGGTCATTTCCTCATATTCCAAAAAATGGAGGAGAAATTAGCGGTAGCGAATCAATCACCCGGTGCTTTATGACCAGACCTACCGGGATATAAACCGGAGGAGCCAGGCATGGAGGGAGGTGGCAGAGACAGTGGTAGGTTTTCGCCTGTTTGGGGAGTTTATATCTAGTTTACTTCGGGCTTTTTGCTTCGTATGTCGCGGGCGGGAGATTCATGTGATTGGTTGTTCGTGCCTTGCTTGCAAAAAATCCTCAAGCTTCAGATACGCCCACCTCCAAGATTTTTTTAACGCTGCTGTGTGGACGTACCGTTATTGTTTTTACTTCGGCTGTGAGTGTTTGTGTGTGCTCAGGATGAGTTTCACTTGTTCTCGCTGTATCGCCGACCCGGAAACCTGTCCGCTCCTCGCAGCAGCTCGCAGCAGCGGCTCGCAGCAACGAGCCTCGCTATGTCCCGACCAATCAGAGCACACTGGGCTCACAGGGAGGGGGGGGCAGGAGCTCCAACAAGCCGTGTAGGACAGAGAGTGAATACACATACTATGCAGAGATGCTGTATGAGAAACCAATGTGAGTTTGGAAAATTGCACAATTTAAATCTATTCTAGTAGACCTCAACAATGGAAATATGATCAGTAGAAATGGCCATGACATGGGACCTTTAACAAACTTGATGTAAAATAACATTTTGAGCACACTATACTGCAAAGGAAAGGAGTGTCCCTGACTGTCTCTACATTGTTTTTTGCAGGAAGATCCAACCCTAGAGCGCCACTTCAAGGGGCATAAAGATGCCGTCACCTGTACCGACTTCAATCCAAACCGCAAACAACTGGGTAATTTCTGCTGCTGCCACAGATTTACACATTCTCCGTGTAATTGTTTCCTGTTATCACATGTGTCATGCATTTTCACTCTCAGAAATAATTAACATTTTCACATTAATGCCAATGTCAGAAGTAGTTAAATTGATGTGAAATGATGTTATAATTTCTCTGTAGTATTTGGTCAAATAAGATCCTTAGTAATAACCTCACAAATATGTAAGTGACATGCTAGTGACTCTTACATGATGTGTCATCATCACGCTCAAGCAAGCAGGTGTCAACAGAACAGCAGAATCATTTTAAAGGTTTTATGAACTTCTGATTTTCTAAATTTGAACTTTTGATCATCTATTATTAATACAATTTACATTGTTTCAAGGATGGGCATCTTGGTTTCTGTCACAGTGATGTATTCTTGTGGCACTTTGATGGTGCATATTGATGCACTTGATGAATACAGTGACTTTTGCAGAAGTTAAACCAGTGAATGTACGACAAAGCTGACGTACAAGAACGTCTTTAGTTAAATGTGGCTCTTTTATTCCAGACAATAAAAGGTTACCGATACAAACTCACTTTATTCACTGGAATGACCTCTTTAAATACCATTAGTTAGAGTAGATATCCGGTTACAGATCAGCATAATACATGTCTGGTGTGTAAGTCTTGACTGAACGTTCTCCATTTATCTTTTTTGGCTCCCTCCAGCCTCAGGTTCAGTGGATAAATCTCTGATGATCTGGAATCTGGCTCCAAAGGCCAGAGCTTTCCGTTATGTCGGGCACCAAGACCTCATCACTGGGGTGCAGTTCTCCCCCTCCGGTCTCCTGGTGGCCACTTCCTCCAAGGACAGGACGGTCCGACTGTGGACCCCCACCATGTAGGCTCAAGTCAATACAATACAATACAATACAATACAATACAATACAATACAATACAATACAATACAATACAATACAAAGAGGCTTTATTGGCATGACCACATTTTAAACATATTATTGCCAAAGCATTCCGCACAAGGCGTTATAACAGAAAAAAACCCAAAAATAAACACTAAACATAAATGTCAACAATACATTCGGCAAGTCACTGTTTCCTCTTCAATCAAGATATCTATCCTGGCTCCAAAATGGTGGAATGAGCTCCCCATTGAAATCAGGACAGCAGATAGCGTGCACATCTTCCGGCGCAGACTGAAAACTCATCTCTTTCGACTCCGCTTCGAGCGATAGAATTACTAACAAAGAATTACTAACAAAGCACTTATATACTAATAAAGGACTGGCTTATCTAAAGCTAGAGTAGCACTTGAAATGTTTTGGCTCTATGACACCTGAGGCCTGTACTACGAAGCTGGATTTTCGCTTAGCCGGCTAACTTCAGGGAAATCTCGGGCTTTCCGGTCCTACGACGCTGGTTCTCTTTTTAGCAGGCTAGATCTCCATGGTAACTTATGCTGAGCGGCAAACCTGCTCCGGAGCAGGTTAGGTGGCAGGCTAAGAGATCAACTCAGTGAAAGCACCGCCTGCTGACCAATCAGAGCTCCGTGTGCGGAGTTTAAAGCGATCAATTCATATTACAGGATAGAGGAAATACAGAAAAACTGCCGTTGCAGGAAAGACGGCCGGCCAAAATCAACTGACTGTGTGAACGTGAAAATTAATAGAATATCCCCTCCCATCTTCAGAGCAATCTGACTATTATAACATTAGCGTTAAGAAAGCTTACTTAAATATCTGCCACGACATAAGTAACCGGATCAGAGTAACATTAGGTACAGTCCGCGGCACTGTGAGTGCAGACGTCGATGTGTGCCATTATCATTCATATCATATCACATCATAATGTATCATTTCCTTATTTGAGTCAGCTTCTTGAGCCGTATCTGGCCGTGCAACACTCACAGTGTCACATACTGTATGCAGAAGTATTATTTTAAGCAACACATTAAATTGACGAAACACTCGAGTCAAATGTAATTAAAGTCAGATCCACTCGTGTCTTGGACAGGGCAGTGATATCATAAACCTGTTAATGTACGCATTCAAACGCTTTTTCTTTTACCAGCTGTATTCACCTTGCAGGTGCAGCTATGTGGCTTTTATCCTGGATAAAGTGTTTAAGTCATGGATGTTTAAAGTTTAACTTCTTCATATTTGACTAATATTAAAGTTCACTTTTCATTCAGGAAGTATGACGCTGCGCTGATAGTACGCTTGTCCGTGTTTGAGATTGGTCGAATGCTCCAAATACCACCCCTTTCATGTGAACGCGCACCTAACTAGATAGGACACGGCTGGCTTGAGCGATCCACTTGATAACCGGCGTCGTAGTACAGTTTAGCGCCAGCGCGTATGTTTTGGCTTAGGCCAACCGGCTAACTCCAACATATCCAGGTTAGGTTGAACCAGCTTCCTAGTACAGGCCTCTGATGTACTTATATGATTCTGTTTTCTTCAAGTTTGTATCTTGTTGGTCGAATGCACTTATTGTAAGTCGCTTTGGATAAAAGCGTCAGCTAAATGCAATGTAATGTAATGTAATCTTTGAATGTGTAAAACAAATGGCACTTAATATGAAATATGTGACTGGATGAGGCCTGGTTTTCAATCAGTTGTGCTTGTGTCTGTGTTGACAGGAAAGGAGAGTCCACAGTGTTCAAAGCCCACACGGCGCCTGTACGCAGCGTTGCTTTCTCCCACGATGGACAGAGGCTGGTGACGGCGTCGGATGATAAGTCGGTCAAAGTGTGGAGCGTTCACCGGCAGTGCTTCGTCTACTCGCTCACCCAGCACACCAACTGGGTGCGCTGCGCCAGGTACAGCATTAACGCTTCCTCATACCCCATTCACACCAACGGTGTTTCAGGGCCGGTTCGGAGCTGGAGCTTGAAAAGCACCGGGTTTTCCTGTTCACACCGCAGCGGAGCAGCGTCATAGCTCCGGAATCCGGTTCGTTTCGAGCACCAAAAAGTTGTCCGTCTAGAAGCAGGAACCGCATACGTCACGCTTACGTCGGAGGGGGGCGAGATTAACCTGAGCTAACACTTAAGGCGAGTACGGCAAATAAAAGTTGTAACAAGCAGTAGTGCTGAGCAAAGTGACTAGAACGCAACCACACACTTGTAAAAATAAAAACACGCTTTATAAAGTCAGGCAACACTAACCAGGCTTCGTGTGATTCTGTTTATTTGTACCTTACTTTGACCATCCGTTCGCTGTTATTGATCATTGTGGAGAGCAGGCAGACGTTTTGTTTGTTATTATAGCAGCTATCGGATGGAATCAATAGATGGGCTGCACAGGTTGTCATGTCCGACTATCACAAGTAGAATCATAATGAAAAATACGTCGGTAAAAAGCCTGTAGAAAACGGCTTATGCCACAATAGGAAAGCAACAAGTAGTCAAGTTATAGTCAGTTTAGCTTCGGTTGCTATGCTAACATCACCCATTTTATACCAGAGAAACTTTCATAACAGCGTTGTGATGCCAAACGGCGTCAATTCAGACTGACACACATTCACTTAAGGGGAACTGGGGATATGTATCAGCTGCTTGTGTGACAGTCAGACAGTGAATACTTTAGAGCCGTGTGAGCTAACCCGGAGCTAACGGGAGAATAAACTCCCGTGGAAGAGCAGCCAGCACTGCAGCGGTCGGTAAATGCCGCTGAAACACATTAATAAACAATGAACCACGGCACTCTGGAGAAAAGTATAAGGTTGGAGAAGTCGTTATTTAATTTAATCTGGCTTCGTATGATTAAAAGCAACACGATCATCGACCCGACACAGTCCCCCGTTGTTGTTGTTGTAGTGAGCGACGTAAACTGTGACGTCATGACGCAGCAGCGGCAGCACCAGTCGGGCTCTGAGCGGTGTGAACAGAGCGGGAGCTGAACCGAAGAACCGGTTCTGAACCAGAAAAGCTCTAGCACGGAGCTAGAACGGGAAAAGCCTTGGTGTGAAAGGGGTATGATCAGTTACTTTTAGTGCTAGGTTACCTACATTAAAGACAGCATGAGAAAATCTAGTTTTTGTTCCGTTTGCCACAAATCCAGTACGTCCAGGAACAAAGAACGTTTAAGTCCTTAAACTCTAATGTGCAACTCAATGTTTAGAATTTCAAACAGCAAAGTTGATATTTTCTAAGGAAATTAAATACTTTTTATACGATACCATACGATACGATAATACTTTATTGGTCAGATCAAGTCTGACATTTGACTTGCATCACAGCAGCTCCTTGTGTAACATCAACATGGACACATATCAACACACAATACATGAAAAACAAACAACAAACATTTAACATAAGAGCACAATCAGTGAGAGAAAACATGTTATCTGGTTTTTAATAGGAGTAATGTTTATAGCCTTGGTTTGTACACTTGGTTTTTACATTGTCTTTTCTTTTATCCCTGATGTATGAAAAGAAATGTCATTCTATTGACTTTTATTTATTTATTCATTTTCCACATTTGTGTTGTTTATTATATCATTTTGGACTGCTTGTTTGCATGAAAGGTGATATATAAATTAAGTTGAGTTCAGTGTGAAGAAGGGAATGATTTCTTCCCTGCAGGTTTTCTCCAGATGGGCGTCTGATAGCGTCGTGTGGAGACGACCGCACCGTCCGGCTGTGGGACACGTCCACCAAACACTGCATCAACTGCTTCACCGACTCTGCAGAGTGAGTCCTAAAAGTGTCCTAATAATATGATTAGCTTTCATTTTGCCATCACTGTTGGTGTTGTATTACTTAAAAAATTTACTTTGTCATGTCTCTTCTACATCAACATGTGTCCCCTCTTCTTCATGTCTCTTCTACATCAACATGTGTCCCCTCTTCTTCATGTCTCTTCTACATCAACATGTGTCCCCTCTTCTTCATGTCTCTTCTACATCACCATGTGTCCCCTCTTCTTCATGTCTCTTCTACATCAACATGTGTCCCCTCTTCTTCATGTCTCTTCTACATCAACATGTGTCCCCTCTGTGTAAAGAGATTCTGAAAGTTTCAGGAAAAAAGATTCTCTCTCTTTTTGTCCTGATCCATTTATATAAAAACCTGTCTGAAAATGAGCTGATCAGATTTTGGCCACTTTGTGATGTCATAACGATGTTTTGTCTTGTGTAACCATTAGCCAATCACCAACCAAGGTAACTCCCCCCCCCCCCCCCCCCCCCCCCCCCCCACACCTTATCACCTGAATCTCCTCCTACTTATGTGCAATGCCTTGTCTTTTATTCTAATGCAACACAAACATTTCCCAAATTGGGATCAATAAAGTACATCTTATCTTATCTTATAGTAGGTTGTTGTGTATTATTTACACGCCCGTCTTGTTACCTGGGGATAGGAGGCGTGTGGCGCAGTGGGATAGTGCGTTCAGGTTCAAACCCCACTGCAGTCAGCATGTCGTTGTGTCCCTGAGACACTTCACCCCAAATGGCTCCTGTGGGGATTGTCCACAGTATTGAGTATGTAAGTCGCTTTGGATAAAAGCGTCTAACAAGTGACATGTAATATTTTTTCTTCCAGATCGGCCACGTTTGTTGGTTTTAACTCGAGTGGAACATGCATCGCGTCCTCGGGAGCCGACAGTTCACTGAAGATCTGGGATCTCCGCACCAACAAGCTGATTCAGCACTATCAAGGTATTTATTACAATATATTCCATTTGGAGAAAAAAAACAATTACCTGAAATATCCTTCAAAATATCTCAAATGTTTTAATTTTGCATAATGTGAAACCTAGAGAACAAACAAACACACTATTTATGAAGTCAAGGCTGTTCAAATTTAAAGAATCAATATAATTACAGACGGCTTTAGTTATGCATAAAGCAAAAAACAGAATACTGCCAGAAAATACGAATTTGTTTTAATTTCAGAGGATGAGCATCATAGGAGGAAATTATATTTTCAGCAGATGTGTGTCTCTTGGCGTAAAGAAGTGGAATTCTTTGCCGAATGATTTAAAGGGCTGTAAGACCATTTTTCTGTTTAAGAAAATGTATAAAGAAAGCGTGATTAGACAGTATGAAGTTGTCTTTTGGTTGTGTTCTGGTTTTATGTGTAAGCAACTGTGACTGAAAGAATATTGCTTTTATCTGACTTTTTATTGGTTTAAAAAAAAAAAAAAAATTGTAAGAAGGGGCAGGCAAAATAAGATTTTCTTCTCCCTGCTTCTTTCCACCATGCGCTACACAAATAAAAATAAACAACCAGTATAAGTGTACATAACTGCCATGTGTGGAATATACAAATAAATAAATAAATGTTTGTTCATGTGTGTTTGTCTCTGATCAGTCCACAGTGCAGGGATCAACAGTTTTTCCTTCCACCCGTCCAATAACTTCCTGATCAGCGGCTCCAGCGACAGCACAGTGAAGATCCTGGACCTGGTGGAGGGGCGCCTCATCTACACCCTGCATGGACACAAGGTACATCATTATGAAGACAGAGACATGAGGGGTGGGGGAAATAATCGATACAGCAGAGTATCGCGATACTTTGCGTGGTGATTTTGTATCGATACACGGACGCCAAGTATCGCTATTTTATTATATCAACTATTCATATTGCAAATCCAAATTAAAGTTTTTGGTAACAATTGTTTTTTCAATCAACTAGATGGTGCTGAGCTTCTTCTTGTGCGGTCATGGCCATGGGGAAAGTCAGTGGGATTGGCGGGAAGTTAGTCAAAACAAAGATGGAGTCAGCGGAGAAAGAAATCAGAAATGCAATATATCGTATCGCAATACGTAGCATATCGTAGAATCGCAATACTATCCTATCATGGCTTAAGTATCGCGATAGTATCGTATCGTGGGGAGCCTGGTGATTCCCCGTGGACAAAAACCACCAGACTCAGGGACCGTTTCATCCCACAGGCCATAAGAGTGCTAAACACCTGAGCTCTGCTAAGTGCCTCGATAAACATTCCTGTTATCATCTGGCAATTTACTAATTTTATATAAATAGTTATCACCGTAATAAACCGTATTTAATTTCGTCTTAATGTACATTATTTAATTTCATATTCTGTTCTTGTACATATCATATTCTATTGACATGTATATAGACTTTTGCACTATTTTGTATTTTATTATATATGTTGCATTGTTGGAGGAGCTCAGGTCAGAAGATTTTCATTGCCCTTTCTACACTGTAGCTGCTGTGCATATGACAATAAAACCTTTGTTATATCAGCTCCAGTGTTTCTCTACATCAGTCCTTGGTGTTGTTTGTGTCATGGTAAGGTTTTTAATTCACATTTTGTACTTTGTGTTTTAGGGCGCTGTAATCACAGTAGCTTTTTCCAGGGCAGGAGACCAGTTTGCCTCGGGGGGAGCTGATGGTCAGGTTGGTGTTTTGTGAACATATAATGTTGTATTGCAGTAATTACGTATTTAAATAATACTTTAATAGATTAATAGATAGAACTAGTACACATACATAGTAGTACAAATGTTTAAAATAAGTAGCAGCAATGCTTAAATGCTAATTCATTCCTGCACCACTTTATGTCCTTGTATTCCCGATACTCAATAACTTCTAACATCAAGGTGACATTTCTACTCTCTGTTGTAGAAAACCTTTAATCATGGAAGTTGTGCTGGTCCCTCCGTCCCCTAGGTGCTGATGTGGAGGACAAACTTTGACAGAAAGTCGTACCAGGACGTCCTGCAACAACACAGTCGGAGGTCCACACCAGACCCTGCACCCCACCTGACTGACATCCACCCGAGGACCCCCCACCTGCACCGCCAGCAGCCCTCAGGCATTCAGGTCAGCTCACATTCATCAACCAGAGATACAACAAAATCACTGTTTAAAGGTCACCTATTATGCAAAATCCACTTCTTCATGTCTCTTCTACATCACTATATGTCCCCTCTGTGTAAAGAGACTCTGAAAGCTTCAGGAAAAAAAGATTCTCTCTCTTTTTGTCCTGATCCATTTATATAAAAACCTGTCTGAAAATGAGCTGATCAGATTTTGGACACTTTGTGATGTCATAACGATGTTTTGGCTTGTGTGACCATTAGCCAATCACCAACCAAGGCATAGCCGTGGGAACATGTTTCAAATGGGGGGTGCTGTGGGGATGACACCAGGGCTGGTTCTAACCCAGCCTAGGCAAGATTTTAGCTGGCAATGAAAAACCTCTATACACTACAAAAAGAGAAACGTATTGACATGGTGGACAGCTTATATAAAAAGGCTTCAAATGTATTCATTATTGTATGAACATGTTTTAATTGGGGGGTGGACGTCACATCCTCTAGGGGGGTCCGGGGGTATGCCCCCCGCAAAGATTATTTTGAACATTTTAAAGTAAAATGCTTCAATCTGGTGCACTTTGAGCACTAGAGACTAGATCTAGGGGGTACAACTTTAAACACCCATATGAAAAAGATCGGTTTGCATTTGAATAATCAAATAAGTATGTGAACATAACCAATAACAAATAAATGTAACTTATTTTATTTTTGTTGTTCATTCATATCTTATTTTACCGAGTTAACATTTATTTATTCATGCATATTTTTAATATCTCCAGTTTTAAACGATATTTTTGGTTTACTGTCCTATAGTATATGGAATCATTTCAAACCTGTTGTTATTTATTCCAATAATTATAAAGGTGTGCCTTGGAAATATTTGTTTACATAAATTGCGACCAAACCGTTTGAGACCCACTGAGATAACTTAGACTAAAGTGAACTATCTAAACACTCAAGAGTCCTTTACCTCACTGAGCCTCAGTCTGACAGGACAGAACTCTCCCTCCACATTATTGTAGAAACAGCTTCTTATATCCGTTAGCGCAGCAGAAGCTAACAACGATCCCTGCCGGTACCGGTGCGCCCCCGTTCTCTCTCTCTCTCTCTCACTTTGGCTGTGAGCTGCGGGCGCCTGAGCCAACATCCCCCACTTTCATCACTTACAGCGCCCATCGTACAGGGCAAATGTAAAATGTAACCGGGGTGAAAAGGGTGTTATCTTTAATTAATTATGAATGTTGTTACATCAAGGCCGAAAATTCGTTTTTTTTGTATTATATTTGTATTTAATCTTGTGGAAGTGCAGATCCCCTGTCCTCCACCAGGGGGTGCTGCAGCACCCTCAGCACCCCTACTTCCCACGGCCCTGAACCAAGGTAACCCCCCCCCCCCCCCCCACCTTATCACCTGAATCTCCTCCTAGAGCACCATTGTGTTCTTTTTAACCAAATCTCTCTCAGAGTGGCGTGGGGAGGGGCTCCTTATTATCATCTAAAGTAACAGACAGAGAATCAGCACTTTTGAAACAGGGCTGAAACAGAGGGGATTATGGGATGCTGCAATGATCTGTTTGGTGTTTGGAGCCAAACACTTCAGAGACATGTTTTGAATATATCTGAGACCTATAATATATTGATGAAAAACAGTATAATAGGGGACCTTTAACTCCTTCCTCGTTCGGCACTCTGAGTCAATACACTGGTACTGGACTCACTTCACCGATCAGCAGCTTTAACCCTGTTAAAACGGTGCAATATCACAATACTAAGGCTGTATCACCTGTGCAATTATTCACATTTCTATTACTAATGACACTTAGAATTACTACTGTATTACACTGTGCATTTCCTTATCATTTTCATTTGTATTAATACATAAACACCACTGTATATATTGTAATTAACACATTTTCCATAATTATTGTTGTTAAATGTGAAAATGTTTAATTCTCATGTCAGTAGACATTTATATATCTTTTTTTTAATATATATGTTACCTTCTTATTGGGCATTTTAACTTCTTATGTTTATATAATTATTTAATTTTTTTTTACATTTATTTCTATAATGGAGCAACTGTCACAAAACCTAATTTCCCCCAGAGATAAATAAAGTAGTCCTATTCGGAAATTATCATATTTCACACACAAGAAATATGTATATTTATATCATTTCCCTATCTCTCCACAGATCAGTCCAGCAGTGGCAGACACTCAGTCCATTGATCCAGACGTCATAGAGTTCAGCCAATCAGTTCACAGCACCACGGTAAGGACATTTATAATATTCACAGTCTACCTCAATCACACTTATGGTCTGCAATCATGTTCCCTCGCTGTAAAACTCACTTACTCACAGTTTCTTGATCAAAGGCAAAGGAAGATAGTCTCTTGAGGAGGAAAAGGGGCTGTGACTTGAAGATATATAATGCAACAACAGTAGTAGTATACACAGAAGTCTGCAGGAATGTTTAAAGGTGTCCTGTCATGCAAAATGCACTTTTTGATATCTTTTATACATCAATATGTGTCCCCGGTGTGTCAGGGAACTCACGCAGCGTCAGAAAATAAAACCCTCTCTCTTTTCCTCCGTACCCAAATCTCTAAAAACGGGGCTACAACGGAGCTGATCCAGATTTGTGTCCGATATGACGTAATATCGGAAATGTGGACCCACGGCACTATCAGAAACGTTGCTATCAGAAACAATGCCTGACTGTTTTGGACGTAATATGGTCTGTGTTTACATTAGCATCGCTAACACTCAGAGCTAACCTGTACTGGAGAGCATGTGTGTGAAGAAGCAGGAAATAAAAAGGAACTCACCTTGTGGTATAACCGGCAAGAGAGAAAGTCTTTGAGCTCCATACTGTTTCAGAAATAATCCTTGATAATCCATGATATGGCGTTTCATCACCGCAGTATTTAGTTTAGACAGTAGCTGCCGGGTCCCGCATGAGCTCAGACCCCTCCTTTTTAATTTGTTATCAATTTTTCCTTTTGTTAAAGCTTTATACCCAAAATCAGCACTTTTGAAACAGGAAGTGAAATAGAGGGATATGAGGCATGGCTAGAATGGGTGATCTGTTTGGTATTTTGAGCAAAACACTTCATAGACATGTTTTTTATATATTTGTATATATCTGAGACCTATGCTATTGCCTAAAAATAGCATGATAGGTGACCTTTAAATATACAGAAGAACAGCAGAAAGAGGGATGGCTACACATTAACATTTTAAGATAAGATAAGATGTACTTTATTAATCCCAATTTGGGAAACATTTTCGTTGCAGCAGCATAAAACAAAACAAGGCATTGCACATAATAACACAGAAATAAACAATTCTAAAATAGAAATATCTCAAAATAGAAATAGAAATAAACCAGCATTAGAGAGTAAGAAGAATATACAGATGACCGTGAAGATAAAAAATCGATATACTTTCTGACAAATAAAAACACTATCGAAGCGACAATTTTCTGTTAACACAATATAAGCAGGATATTATTTACATCAAGTGTGCAGTTTCTGGGAATACAAAGTGAAATGTAGGCAGCATCTAATGAAGCATTCAGTCAGTTTAATTCACATTGAGTCCAACCTGACAACACAACATGACAAATGGACACTACCTAACTTAAACTGACTACATCATTAACAAATACAAACATTTAACATAAATATTGCGGCAGTAATATTCCAAACAAAGTGCCGCGAGGGACTAAACGAGAAAAACATTGTGGACGCGCAAAAACTCAGTCTTTCCACCAGTATGCGTTTGACCTTTTATTTCCAAAGCAAACATTCAATAGTCCATATCCATATGCGTTTGCGTATATTCTTTTATGCATGAGAGCGGTCAACAAAAATGGTCCTTCTCACTCTCCCTCCATCTATCACAAAGTGTGCAGGTAAAAGCAACCGGATATAACCGCAAACGTCACCACACAAATCCAATGACACGCCCACCACCTCTAGTGACTCAAAAACATGTACCGTAACAAACACAGAAAGATACTTCATATGTGGCTCCTACAATAAATAAAAAGCAATATTTAGCTGCTATTCATCACATGAGAATATTTATATTGCTGCTTTTACAGGCTGAAATGTAGGATTTGTGCCTGTAAAATGTTATTTGTTAGCATTACTGCTAAAGACACATATTAACAGTCAATTCGAATCAAATAAGCTTGATAAAATGTAAGGTTTGGTGCATTTAAAAGGGAACGTTCCCTTTACCACCAGGTGGCGCTGCAGACCTCTCTGAAGTCTGACAGTCCATCCACTTGCAGGCAGTACATTGATTTGTGTTCATCTTAATAATAGTAACATGAATAAGAATAGTTTGCATTTTCAAAGGGTCTTTCAACGCTTTACGCATGTGAAGAAAATAAATAACATAAATAAGAACATAATTAGTTGCTGTATGAATGTTTGCAGGGGACAACACATTTAAAAAAGATAATGAATAGCTTCAGATCATTCAGAGACACGCTACTAATCTAATCCTACAGTTCTTCACTTTCACACATCTGAGCAACTTAAGTCATTGCATATTTACAAAATGTAAGATTTAGCTTTTTTAAACTGTATATGTGGATTAAATTAAGTTTTCCCCGCTTGAACACTTCATTACAGTTTATTTCAAAATGTCCCTCTTCAACTTTTGTCCTGGAATAAGCCTTAGGTATCTACTTTGTTTCAGATTTAGTTGTAAAAAAGTGTACTTCATTAGACTCTGAAGTTAACAGGAGGCTTTTTGTGTGTGTTCCTCATTAGTCAATAATGTCCAATACAGCCACAGCAGGGAATAGAGTCCTGCTTCAGGACACTTTTCCTTTACAAGCCTCCTAACTTCTTCAGCTGCCCTCTTGTATATTTTTATGACCCAACAACCTTGTGAATGCCATGTTCTGTTTTCCAGATGATTCCCTTCTGTCGTTTTTTTTATTGTCGCTCCGGGCCCATGTGTGGTGGCAGTGACTCGGCCTTGAACTTGAGTCCACATTGTGTTGTGAAGTAAAATCCTGCATGTGAATTAGCGCTATCCGCTTACTGCTCTAACGCTGATCCTGGATAAACAGGCAGAAACATGAGATTTATGTAGGTGGGCTTTAGTGTATAGGTTTAATGGCTATTAGCGAAACAACATGCTTTGCAGTGGCTCAGTCAGTAGGGGCTTGGACTGGGAGCCGTAGGGTCGCCGGTTCAAGTCCCCAGCTAGACCTAAGTATGGAGTGTGGACTGCTACTTGGAGAGGTCCCAGTTCACCTCCTGCCCTGCCGTGGTGCCCTTGAGCAAGGCACCGGACACCCCCCTTCCCCCCTCACTCAGTCAGTTAGTTAGTCAGTTAGTTAGTTAGTAAGTTAGTTAGTCAGTTAGTCAGTCAGTCAGTCAGTCAGTTAGTTAGTTAGTTAGTCAGTTAGTCAGTCAGTCAGTTAGTCAGTTAGTTAGTCAGTTAGTTAGTCAGTTAGTTAGTCAGTTAGTAAGTGAGGTAGTCAGTCAGTTAGTTAGTTAGTCAGTTAGTTAGTCAGTTAGTAAGTGAGGTAGTCAGTCAGTTAGTTAGTTAGTCAGTTAGTTAGTCAGTTAGTTAGTTAGTTAGTCAGTCAGTTAGTCAGTTAGTCAGTCAGTCAGTTAGTTAGTTAGTTAGTAAGTGAGGTAGTCAGTCAGTTAGTTAGTTAGTCAGTTAGTTAGTCAGTTAGTTAGTTAGTTAGTTAGTAAGTGAGGTAGTCAGTCAGTTAGTTAGTCAGTCAGTCAGTTAGTTAGTTAGTAAGTGAGGTAGTCAGTCAGTTAGTTAGTTAGTCAGTCAGTTAGTTAGTCAGTCAGTCAGTCAGTTAGTTAGTTAGTTAGTAAGTGAGGTAGTCAGTCAGTTAGTTAGTTAGTTAGTAAGTGAGGTAGTCAGTCAGTTAGTTAGTTAGTTAGTAAGTGAGGTAGTCAGTCAGTCAGTCAGTCAGTTAGTTAGTAAGTGAGGTAGTCAGTCAGTCAGTTAGTTAGTTAGTTAGGTAGTCTTTAATGCCAGCGCTAGTTATTTTTCCTGATAATAAATGCATTCAAAACATTGTCATTCAGCACCTAAAGAATGTTGGGTATCCCACACTCTGCCTGCCTCTTCATCTTCCTCCTCCTCTTCCTCCTCTGCCTTGCTTGAAGAAGCTCCTCTCCCTGTCTGAATCGCCCAAGCGTGCCTGAATGGAAATGCCTGTTAGAGATGTGAGAGGGACATGGAGAGAAACCGAGATCAGAGACACGATGGGGGGGGGGGGGGCAGGTCCACGTGCCGATGCCCTGCCAGCAGCAGCAGCTCTAATAATAGACGAGTTCTTCCTGTTTAACTCACTGACTAACTCCCTGCAGCCCACTGTCACACACATTTAATACATACACATTAGCTTTATCTTTGCCACAAATAGAGTGGTGCAGGAATGAGTCCTAGAACAGGGAGATGAGTTAGCATTTCACCACTTCCCGTTCCCTCATTTCTAAAGTTTTTACGCCTGAAATAAGCTCTGTGGGTAACATAAGCCTTAGAAATGTTAATGTTTAGTTTTGCGACGTAAAATATGTAAGTAAATACCCCTCTGGTGAATGTCTAAAGTTTGACTAAACACCATCACGCAGAACATTAGCTGCCTTTAGTTTAGCGGTGGTGACGTGAAGTCATGTGACCGTGCTGTAGTTCCTTTATAGCCCAACATTAGCCACCTTTAGCTTAGCGGTGGTGACGTGAAGTCATGTGACCGTGCAGTAGTTCCTTTATAGCCCAACATTAGCCGCCTTTAGCTTAGCGGTGGTGACGTGAAGTCATGTGACCGTGCTGTAGTTCCTTTATAGCCCAACATTAGCCGCCTTTAGCTTAGCGGTGGTGACGTGAAGTCATGTGACCGTGCTGTAGTTACTTTATGGCCCAACATTAGCCACCTTTAGCTTAGCGGTGGTGTCGTGAAGTCATGTGACCGTGCTGTAGTTCCTTTATAGCCCAACATTAGCCGCCTTTAGCTTAGCGGTGGTGACGTGAAGTCATGTGACCGTGCTGTAGTTCCTTTATAGCCCAACATTAGCCGCCTTTAGCTTAGCGGTGGTGACGTGAAGTCATGTGACCGTGCTGTAGTTCCTTTATAGCCCAACATTAGCCGCCTTTAGCTTAGCGGTGGTGACGTGAAGTCATGTGACCGTGCTGTAGTTCCTTTATAGCCCAACATTAGCAGCCTTTAGCTTAGCGGTGGTGACGTGAAGTCATGTGACCGTGCTGTAGTTCCTTTATAG